CGGTAGTGGTAATACAGTAGATAGCAGTGGGTGTGGCGCCAGAATAGCGTCTGGAAAGATTGATAGCATTGGAGGTATCCTGAAGGCCTACATGGGAGGGGGCCCTGGAGGCTCGTAAGGAGGTGCTGGAGGCCCGCGAGGGAATGCGAGAGCATGTACTATTATTAGATGGCGGGAGGGTGGGTCTCAGAGACTAGTTTCTCATAACATAGAAACTGGGTCTCTTAGACCCTTTATAGGCACCGAGAAGTGCTGCCTGAGGTGGGCATTTCAAGTGCAAGACCTGACAGCTGCGTGGAAGAAGCTTGGCAGGACAAGGAATCCGAGGACCAAGACATGATGAAAAGAATGCAAGGCGGAAGATGAAAGAAGATGGCAAAGAGACAATCGAGGACTACACGTAGAGCACGCGGATATGCAACAGCAAAGTGACGAGATGGAAGTGGAGAGGCGCAAGTCAATAGTGCACAGGGAATTACCGTTTTAAGATTAATATTTAACGAGTAACTTGCGTTATCGAAGAAAATCGATGAGATTATAGACTTGACCCACACTAACATCGTCACGGCGATCGCGATTGCCCGAGTGCTTTGGGCCACTTCAGAAAAAGGGGATCTTTCATACGGCGCGCGCACAGCTGGTGCCTGAACGTTTGGACCTGACAGAACCTTCGTAGAGTCGGGGACCACCGCGAGGATCGTCGTGCGATGAAAATTTTGGCATTAAACACCGGATGACGGTTTCGAGGGAGATGCCAGGGGCAAGGCTGGGTAAGCACATCCCCGGTAGCACGTTCGCCAAATGGGCTTGATGTCAATGATGTCACTCGATGTCTTCTCAACGCGAATCTTGGCGGCCCCAGACAGTGGAGAGAGAACAGGATGCTACATTAGTCTGATAAGTAAAAAAGCGGATGTTTCGTAGGGGTCACAACGTGTGTATGCGCACGACGAATAACGGCGAAACGACACATCTCATAGATTTGTTGGACTCTGCTATTTCAACCTGGAACAAAGTTAATCAGCGAGAAAAATGAACAAATGAAAAACTACGTACGAGCGTGGAATTCGAAGAGTTATATGTACACTCGCTAGATGAAGTTGATGAGGGCATTATTCCAAGATAGCATCCATCTCCGACTTACCGCCTTCTCCGGTAGATCCCCGCTCAATAAATCAGGTGCTGACTAAGCTATGGCACCTGCCTAGTGCCTTGAGCTTTTGCTGTCATGCACAGGCCGCTGGCAGCATCAAGGAGGCGTACGACATGTCGGTAACCAAGCTTCCCAGCGTCAGCGCTAATGCTTCAACCCATCGAAAAGTAACTTATTTTCACAGTTATTCTCAGCCTATGATTAGATGGCATTCAGAGGAAATTTATGATGCATATCAACTTTGGGTCACCGTCTGACAGGCTGTGGGGACTCTTGGAAGTACTAGTGTCAAGGGTATCGTCATTGTTGATGGTGACTGATACGGTCCCCTGCCTTTTTGCGCTTATCTTCAAACCATGGCGTTATCATTGATCGCCGCACCCAACTGTGGCAGACGCAGGCAGGCAGTGCAATGAGCCTTAAGATCAGCGACCTGTGCAACTGCAGGGATCGAGAACTCAAAAATCCTATTTCAGCGGTCGGCGCCTTCCACTTGGTCTTGGTCTTGCCACCAAACCATGGTATAAAGGCGCAATCCTGTGCGGGGTAACGTCTGTACATTCCCTAAATCATACTCCTCCCCGAAGCATTTGACTTATATTTCGCTCATTCGGCCATCTCACTTAGTCACTTGACCTCTAGCAAACGTTATGCACAGTAATCATGATAGCGTTGGCTCCCTCGGTGCAGAGGTAAGTAAATCCTTGGAACTCTGACGTCTAATTGAAACGTTCATATTTCTTCAGGATCAATTAATTTCTCTGCGAAGGCAGATTAATGAAATAAAGGAGCACATCGACTTGCTCATGCTGCAAAGTGCCATCATACGGGAGCGAAGGTGCCTCTTTCAGCATCAACAAGATATCACACCGCTTGTGATAACGGAACAACTGGATTCTACGTCCGCGGAAATCAGCTCTGTCGATATCCTTGACATAAAGCCTGAGACTAGTCAGGATTCTACTGTATCAGGTCCATCTTTGGCATTGAAGGGCGCAGCCGACTTCCCGGCATCTCGCCCCCGATCAAAATCAATTGTGGTATGTGATACTTATGCGTAGCTACTTCTTCATCTCATACAAGATGGGTACCACCTAGAAGACTATCCCTCCTGACAATACCGTTGCCCTTCAACTACCCACACAATCTCAGCGCAGCACGTCTAAGCTGGGCGCCATACCTCGCAGATCTAAGCCAGGACGTCGTGAATTCCAGGGAAGGTCTGCACGGCATGAACCTCCTGCTTTGTTTCAGGGGTGGGCGGATGCCTTATGTTAAGAAAGTGATCCGTCAGAGCACCTGAGCCGGTACTACTTCAATATATCATACTTGTCATTGTACGTCACTTACCTAGTTACGATTATTTTTTCCTTCTTGCTACTTAAGACAGCTGAACTCTGTCGTCGCGCCTCAGTCTCTCTTACCATTGACTGAGGTGCGTATATTTCCTATTCTACGGTACATGGTGTTTACTAGCTTATCTCTAGGCTCGCGCTACTTCAGCTCTTACCTTTTGACACCTTAGTTTGAATGATCGATATTAATATTGATGACATTGAATACGCATATATTCGCTTTCAGAAGCCTAACATCTTTGAATGCTCGACGATAAAGATATACTCGCGGTAATTCTTCTAGTGGAATGACATACTTATGAGGAGAGATCTGTGAACGAGCCCGAATCTGTGTAACATGTTCAAATCAAGCTATTCTGCAAATATTTGGCTGTAGGAGACTTTGGACGGATGCACATACAAGAGAAAGGCACACTTTCGTATCATGTATGGACACAGTTTGTATGAGCAATAAAAAGCCGACAGCACCTTCACATCGGTTACACTCCGCAGGTCTACAGCTGGGCGACAGCGATACTGCTGATAGTTTGATAAACATTGGACCATGGTCTACCAAAAACAATTTCAGACTCGACGCCCTGCATAGTTAACCTGCAATTTCGTGGTCTCGAAGTAGAATACCCATTTGTCTTCGCCACTCCTTAACGGATGTCTGCCCCAGTAGAATTGTTTACGTCGCCCGTACGTCCATTCCTGTCGCTCTACAAATCATCAATGAACACAATTAGCTCGATGGTCAAGTCAAAGTTAGGTTTGAACGATTTTGTAACGAGATAAATCAACAAAACAGAAAATGCAGCTCCTTACCGCCAACAAGAACGTATCCCAGCAGCCTGTCTTCTCGGATGATCACGCGTTTGGGAAGCTTCTTCGAGTCGGAACCATTAACATGTCCAAGTAGTAGCGTCTCTATAGCCGTCTGTCGGGACATCAATTGAATATGTAAGTGACTTCAGTTGGACTTCAGGTTCGGCCGAGCTGACGGCTAATGCGCGCTTACCGTGATATCGCGCTGTTCTATAGCGAATATAGCCAGTTCCGCCTTCGAAGGACTGGAAACAAGATGTGGTCAAGCCTCCCAGGATAAAATTGAAATTATCCCCAGCAGTTGTCTTGTTACCTTGCGTTCTTGCTCCTGATGGTGACCTGAACGACTGTCCCGATATGATCGTTGAGATTCAATGATTCGACTGTAGCGCTGTTGTGCGGTTGGGCCTCCAAGAATAATAGTTGGGTCTTGTTGAGAGGTAGCACCATCGTTGTGTCTTTGCCGGCTGCCGCTCGTCGATCGATGTCAAAGAGTAGAATTAACCGTCCCTCGCTGACTAATGAGTACTGCATGCTGAGCAACTCAGCAAGGCAATTAGCCTAGTACGACTATCTCCAACTATCTGGTGTCCGTGATTCATTAGTTCATTATACTCGTGTTTGAATCCGTCCGCGGCCCCGCAAGGGAAGGAGTGCAGTAGCATGAGACTTGGGTCGACCGTTCAGGACAGACTGCGGGAGTAAAACCACGGTGTCGAACTTCTTTTTCTTCGACCCATGTCAACTTGGATGGACAGCTCACAGTAGACACAGCCTCAGCGCCCTGCTTGACACAACCATGATATATATACCTGGATCTTTCCCAAGCGCTCAATCGCAGCTCCCCAATAATAGATTTCTGTAAGTTTGTCGTTTGCTTACCCGTCTATAATTGTGCTAACGGGCTTCCCTCTAAATACATACATCGTCTTCTAACGACACATGGAAGAGTCTATGCACTGCCATAGAACACAGTGGCATTTTCGATTCCGAAAAACCTGGTAGCCTCACTCACGATGCACGGAGTTGGGCTTCGGGAGAGTCTGAGAGAAGTCCTCGACCGACGTGATCAAACGAATGTTTGGCTCAATGGCCTCGCCAGCGTTGGGAAGACATCCGTCGCATTCACCGTAGCTGAGGAGATGAAAGAGCTGGAAGGCTTGCCACCACTTTCCTTTTCTCGCACAAGCATGCACAGATTGACACCAGCTCGCACTGACTTTTCCCGCGCATTCGAGGCGATATCGCGCAAGGGATCGAGAAAGACGAGATTCTATTATCGTCTAAAAAATCTCGTGTTGATCAGATGCGGGAGCTGAGATTCCATCAAGAGACGCCTTATCCCATCATCATCGATGCTCTTGTTGAATACCTTTCTCTTGAAGAGGCGGCAAGACTGGCTACGCTGTTCACGGAGACGCTCTCGGGCCCAGACTTGCTGACCATCCACCTGATATGTACGAGCCGCCCCGAGGCTCGTATCCGCGCGACCATGTCACCTGGTGTCCACCAGATTTCCCTCATCACACGTGATGCAGATGTTGTACAAGACATTCGTTTCTTTCCGCGAGCATCATATGGACAAGTCGTTCCACCGTTTTCCGGCGACCCTAAAATCTTCGCCATCAGAGGCTGAATTCGAGACCCTTTCCTTTAAGGCAGGCGGTCTTTTTGTCTATGCTGCTATGGCCATCAATTTTCTATCACCTGTCGGTCAATATTCTCAGCAGAGACTAGATCTCTTACTTCGTGAGGAGTCAAATGTCAGTGCTGACATTGACCAGATTTATCGACAGATTATTGCAATTTCGCAGAATCCAGCATTGCACTGCCGGTTGTTGGGGTCCACCATCCGTCTTGTTCAACCGCTCCCTCTTAGAGACCTCGAAAAACTCTTCCATGCAGACAAAGAGAACTTAGCTGTGATGCCGGAAGCATTTTCACCCGTGACCCTGATTCCACAGGATGGAGTCGGAAACGCCGAGATTTATCATACTTTGTGGGGGCTATCGTGCAGCAGTTTCGGTGAGAGCGTGAGAGAGAATTTGACTGGATGCAGATAGCTATTTGGGCGGAACCCCGAGAGGGGCACCCGGCCCCGATAGCGGCCCAAACCTGTGCAAGAGTGAGCCGAGGTGAGCTGCGAGGGCAGGTGGGCAAACTCGCAGCCCCAGACTCAGCAGGTAGGTACCAATTATCAGGACCACTGGAGTAAGAATGTAGCTAAGTATGCAGTACTGTAAATAAGCAAAAAATGAAGAGAGTTGTAAAGTAAACTGCGAGAATCCAAGACAGACGTCGAAGGACAGGGAGCAGTGTGGCCGAGTACGACGTGGTACGGAGACAAGAGCAGTCACGTGCTCCACTGACGCTGGCACAGAGTCCTTACCGCTCGTGCCTCGCTTCGGGATAGATCGATCAACGACTTTATGACGGATCCTCTTCGCTCGAAGGAACACCACATGAATGATGCTCACAAGTATCTTGCGTGTTGCTGCCTTGACGTGTTCGCATAAACGGAGTAGCAGCACACCGTGACAGTGCACACCGGTATGCTGGGGTACGCATCCTTGTTCGCTGGGTTTAAAAAGGTGAATTTGAAATGTTTGGTGGCGGTCGTAGAAATCAATTACTTCATAGTCAATTTGCGATGTCGTCAAAGCTAGGCCCTGATTTTTCGGAACTTTAACAAATATGGGTGTTTGAGTCTGGGCCGACGTAGGACGTAGGCTACTGAAAAAAAAAAAATACAAAAGAACAAACTGCAGCAGAAACGATCCTAAAAAAGATCCCATGGGTGCAGCGCGAATGTTAAGGAATGGCCCCCTAGAGTTTATCGGTGACATAGAATACAGCTAACACTGGGCGGGGACGACGATATCCACTTTCGGGTTCTTGAATATGTGAGGACATTAGATGAAATCTCAGTTTGGCGCAAATAGACGGATGTCATGCTCAGTGCGCAAGTACTGGAACCACAGGTATTGCGGTACCTTTCTGACAAGCTGTAGTGATGCGTCTGATGAGCCGGTTGTCATGTGTTTGGAATCAGACAGGAATTTAATATGAAAACACGCACGTTAACGTTGAGCGCACTGCCATCGGGCTCTTGGAGCAAAGTTATGTACATACAACCATTGGGGTGAAGATGATCAGTACCTGAGGAGGTCCAAGTAACGGTACCTGAAGACATTAATATTCGATGAGTATTTGTGGTCAACAAAATATAGCACCCGTGTTACCACGAGTGAGGATAGCGCATATCAAATACACAGAGCGCATAGATAACTTATCTGGAGCTATCAGAACATGGCACAGCTCGGTCGATGAAATGAAAGCCTGGTGTGGAGAGGTTTGAAGTAAGCTTAAGATAAGCAAGTGATGTCAGAGACGAATCGATGATGTGGAGGTTTGCAATTGGTACGATCACTCACTGGCACCAGATCATCACATAGGTCTATAATTATGGGTGCATTGCTCTTCACACCACAGAAAACGTGCATCGCCTTGTGAAGGGAGCCCCAGTGTGACATTGCGGTAGAATCATGATGAAGGTTCGGCTTTGAATCCTGTACTCCAGCTCCGAGTCGCGCCCGGGATTTATCGAAGATTTGATCAAACCGGTCATCAGTTTTCTCAGCGCAGATTGGGTTGTGACCGCAATGATACCTATAGCTATCGCCGCCACAAGGGCTTCGTGCTGATATTAGAAAGTTCCGCGGGAGTAAAAATGATAAGTACCTGAGAAAGGGCGTAGTTTGACGCGGTCCTGCGGCTCCTGCCGCAGTCTTGACGCGCCTGTTGCGTCGGAAATTCCTTATTTGGGTTTCAAGGGGTTGCAACTTGCAAGAAACTCAATATTAATGCAAGTTGTTGCAATACAAGAGTTTTGGGTATAAGTTGTCGTTTCAAGTTGGTTTCAACGGCTTCCAAGTTCCAACAATGTTCCAACCTATATGGTGGGTCTCATGCCGGCCCGGTCACGGTCGGTCGGCATGCAAAGCGCCAGCTGTGTCGCAAGCGTTCCTATCCATATCAACTTGAAGTTCATGCACATGACCATTCCTTCGTTATTTTATTCATCATAGGACACGTACTAAGTACTTGCTACATCAACCAATGAATATTTTCGTTTCTTCCCTTTCTGGAACCCTCTGCTCGAGTGACGTTTGGCGATTGAACACGTCATGACTGCGTCGGTTTCACCGGACGCATTGCTACAATGTCAGTACCGCCATTAATTGCCACAAGGGCTTTGTCCTGACTCCAGAGTCATATTATTGGAAGTTGCGGCGCGGGAGCAAAAATGAACTTGCCTCGGGGCCCGAAATAGGCAACCCGATTTGTGGCTGCTATAACGATCAAGCCGATACCGTATGAGCGCTGAGCATGGGGTATTGCAAATTATTTCTGTAAATCACTGTTACGAGCTGCTTGCTGTGTCGGATAAATACCCTTCTTTCTTTCACCTTCCTTCCTTCATTCATTTAAATTTTAGACGACTCACGACACGATTCCACTGCCATTTTCAGTCCTAGAAGCTAACTGACAATGAGCACACCTCCTCTCAGGACCACCTCGAGTGTTCCCGATGCTCGTTTCAATTCATCTCCCTCGTCATCACCGCATTCCATCACCCGGCCGTTACCCCGTACAAGCAAAAACCAAACATTCTCCGCTCTCCCTCCAGAGGTTGTTCACAGTGTGCATTCCTCCCCAGGAGATAGCGCCATCAGTCTATCTCGTGAAGATTACTATACCAGAAACTCGCATCCTATCACAACCATGTCCAATTTCCCCACGGGCGGTGGAGAACACGGGAGTAGGAATATGAATGCGCGCACGATTGCTAACACACATCAAGACTCCATTCTTCTGGCACCAGCCAACACAAAGTTTGATACGTCACCCACGCCATCTGTCATACTTACTCTCCATCACAATGATGACAGAAAGACCTCATCGGCACCGACATCACCTACAGGGAGGGTGTCACCTCTAGCGTCTCTTGTGCCTGCGTCGTTGAACGAACACTCAGATTCTCCTCGTTACTTATTTGGGGTACCGAGGAGATGGTGGTCACGTCCACCTTCGAACGAGAGGGGGAGATCTGTCTCTCCCTCAAGAGGGAGGAGTATCCCCTTCCGTAAGAGTAGATTCAGAGTCATTTCCACGCCCGAGTCGCACTCAAGTCTTCTGATGTCGGATGACTTTGCGGAACAGGAAACTCCATTTTCTTCTTCGTTGCCCAACGATCTGTCTCTTGCTCCTTTGTCCAACGACCTTCTTTCCTTATCTCGCGAGGATCTTCAAATCCACGATCTTGATGAGAGGAATACCAGTGATGAAGTTGGGAAGACCGAGAATTCGCTTTTGCTATCATCTCCCGAAGCTACTCATGCCACCCTTGTATCACCCGCTTCCCCCACTGCCGCACACATACACCCGCAGACCCTCACGTCACTAGGTGTAGGGATCGAAGAGGATGAGCGGAGGCATGACATAGAGAATAGCTATTGGCCCAAGCTACTCGGGATGTCTCCAGTGTCATCTCCAAAGTTTCTTAGTGTTGATGTGGGGACAAGTGCGTCCGCAAGCGAGACTAATCCGCAAGTTGAAGAGGATCTTGTTGTCTCGATGGAGATTTGGGACGGAAAAGACGTCCCTCCTTCGGTCATGTCCCTTGGTTCGTCCTCGCCTACGAAAGGCAAGGCATCTGCACTGCTAAATCAGGCAGTGTCCTCGGCATTCCTTCGTACGTTCTCTTATTTCTTCTATGAGACTGGCGCCCTCAATCCCGCCAGAAAAACCGTTCTTTACTTCTCCTGGGAAAGGAAAAGGCAAGGGGAAGGCCCAAGATACACCCCAAGCTCAAATTAAACACCCGGAATCATGGTATGATAAGTTCACTCATCGTCAAAGCGCAAAAGGGCGGGGGAAAGAGAGCAAGGAGACTCGGGATAGTTGGCTTCGGGCGAGGGAGGTGAGTTCCATCTATTTTGTACTTTATAAATGTCCCATCGTCTTTCCGTTTTTGCTGGACGGAGATGTCAAACATGAGATCTAAATTTCTTCTTTCTTTCTTTCGTTTAAGATTAAAATTGGCAGGATGATGTGCTCACGCATATCATTCCAAACAGAACGTATCCCTAGCGTTGAACGCTGTACTACCCACTTCTGAGCTCGCACAACTTTCAGAAGCAGGACAGGCATTTGCAGCGGAGGGTCATGCTGCTCGTGCCACCGCTGAGCAGGACAATGGTAAAGAGGTGGAAGCGTCTTCGCGTGCCGAGAAAGGTGCTGTGACCAAGAATGGCCAAGGTACAGAGAGTAAGGTTGGGCCCGGTCAGAAGACTTGGCTTACGGGTGAGTCCTCCTTGCGTGAAGTTGGGTTTCGCTAATTTCGTACTCTTTATCAGCGAAGTCCGCAGTAACAACTGTCTCGCCCATGCTTCGAACCTCCCTTGTGATTCTTGGTGAAATCGCCACACTTACACCTATCCCTGGGCTCCGTGAAGCTGCGAAGACCTTGTTAGCAGTGTGGGAGGCCGTGGATGCGGTTGAGGTGAGTGTTCGATCTCTATCATTCTTTTTCAGGAGCAGAGTTTGACATAGGACTTACGTATTTTCAACAGACCAACCGCCTGCAATGTCTCCGCCTTACCGAGCGCTGTGCGAGGGCGATTTACTCTGTGCGCGCTGAGATCGCAGATGCTGACAGGGAGATGAAGTCTCAGCAAGGTCAACATGGTGATGTTGGTATTGTGGGGCTGGCAGAGGAGATGGAAGGCCCCGTCGGGAAGCTCAACGAGTGCATTGATATGGTAGGTTTTTGCTGTGCTTTAATTTCGTCATGGATCGAGCAACCAATTTGTTTGTCTTATGCTTGGGTGCTAACACCTATTCTCTATAGGTGTACAAGTTCCTTCTAAAGCTTAACCGTCGTCCGTTCATCAAACGGTTCCTGCGTAGCGACGAGATCCAACAGGAAATTCAAGCATGTGACAAGGCGCTTGCGGATGCAATGCAGATGTTTAGTGTGAGTGTCATTTTTTTTGCTTTCGCTTCCGTCTTCTCAATTTAACTTTGACTTGGCATAGATCTCTATCCAAATAAGAATTCTCAAAGAATGCAAACGCTTCGGAAGGGAGAGGCGTCTCGATGCCGGGTACTATGCACAAGGATCTACACCTCCACCTACATATGCATCTCCTCCGTCGCAGACCCTACCCATTTCCTCAGACCGCACCCCAAGGGTCGAGAATCCAGCACTTCCCGAACCGCATGACATTCTCCCAGCGACAACTGGGCTGCGCAGGAGTCCCCCAGCACACAATTTACCATTGCCCCCACTCCAATCCGTGCAATCCCAGACTAACAACACTGTCCCACCCCCCGACGCGCCCATCTCCCCTCTCGCTGAGCTTCAAATCCTTCACACTGTTGAAAACGCCTCCGACAGAGAACAAGACCATGCACTGTTCCACAATACACTCCAACGTGCCATCAGTGCTCGCAGGGATTATGAGGTGTTACAGGTACTAGAAGTACGCCCAGAAGAAGTGCCCGAGGCACTAAAGGCGCTGAGGAGGGCTGAAGAAGCGCAGAGGATGGCAAGGGAAGCTAACCAAAGGCAAGGAGGAGAAGTAATCGAAGAAGGCCTGGAGAGAGTGTTCATGGAGACTGGGATTGAGGCCATGACGAGGTTGAGTAGTGTTGCCGTACAGAAGGCAGAGGATCAAGATGTAGACGTTCCCTGGGATTTACCGCCTTGGACTATTACCCGGTACGTCTGGTTTCAGTTCCGCTTGGGCGAAGCTAATGATATTTTTCCGAGCAGCTACGAAGCCGACCGTCTCACCATGATTGGCAGTGGCTCCTTCTCCGAAGTCTACCTTGGCAACTGGTCTGGGCGGCGTGTCGCCATCAAAGTTCTCTCTCCCTACACCCCCGCACGCCTCTTCAGGAAAGCGGTGGAGACCTGGAGTAAGCTGAAGCATGAGAACGTGTTGAGAGTGTGGGGTGCAAGCAGTGCACAAGGCGAGCGACCGTGGTTTATCGTGAGCGAGTATTGTAGCGGCGGGAGTTTGGTGGGGTGGTTGAGAGAGAAAAAGGGGAAGTTTGGTGAATCAAGCGTCGAGGGTGCATTGACTCCTCCGAATGCAGGTGCTGAGGGAGATGTGGATCTTCTCCGGTGCATGCACCACATTTCGAAGGGGATGGTGTACTTGCATGATCAGAATGTGTTGCATGGAAACCTCAAAGTAAGTGTTGATCGTTACTTGGTCTTTTAGTCTGAATCCGGAGTGTGTAGGCTTCAAATGTGTTGGTTGATGATAGCGGGCTGTGCGTCATCTCTAACTTTGGGCAGAACGAGATGAGGTGGGAGGCGTCGAAGAAGAGCGTGAAGCCCATTACGAGTGCGTTTATCTCATCTTCCTTCTATCCTTCTTTCTTTGACACAAGCTTAATGTAGATGGGACCCTGCGCTGGAAAGCACCGGAACTACTCGATGGAAACGAGAAATTGTCGACAGCTACAGATGTGTATGCATTCTCTATCTGCTGCATCGAAATTCTTGGCATGGGCGACCTTCCATACGGAGATCGTGACGACGAGCTTATTACATTCCGTGTCCTGCGTAAGTCCTGACCTATACAATATTACAAACATTAGTAACGCCTCCACAGACCAAAACAAGCGTTCCGAGATTCCCTCAATACGCATCGCTTCACTCGTTGAACCTCTTATCCAAGCATGCTGGGTTCGTGACCCCGAGCAACGTCCAGTGTTTACGCACGTTGCTGCGACGCTCAACCGACTTCGTAAGTATCAAGGGGTGGAGGAATCCCCTATCCCAGTGCAGGCCGAGCTACTTTCGAAGACTTGGTCAGAGCCACCCCGCCACTCGCCGAGCATGCCTCCTGTAGAGCTACCGGAGACGTCTCCGTCTACCCTGCAGGAGGGTCAAGTCATGCTGGACGACGACTTAGATACAAGTACGGGAGACGAGTTTGATACTGCGTCTGACGGTACGGGAAAACTTGTTCCTGGCGATACGGCGTCGTGTGGATCGCAGCCGAAACCTTTTCATCCAATTGGACCGCCATGCAGCAATCCATCGCATAATTGGGAACCCACCATGGACCCCCATACAGGCAATATGGAGATGCCCGAGGGAAAATATTCAGGGATTGTTATATATACACCGACTCGCAAATTATCTTTGGCGGAGAGCGATTCGATGAGTAGTGCCTCGTCGCATGTCACATCAAGTTCAGGAGCCGAACACGGCGCATTGGAAGAGGCTCGACATCGTCATCATCATTCGCACCATGTTGCCTTAGGGCACGAACCGTCTCTACCAATGGATGAGCAACTCGCGGAGAGGAGAAACGAGTTGCGGTTCAGGTCATTAGCGCGGTCGAGCCATGGGTTCCATCATTCCCGTATGTCCTTTTCCCGTGTTATAACCGTTCTTGTTCTGGCGCCGATTGAACATGTGGTTTCGTTCGCAGTTACCTTACCCCTTTGGTCGCCTTCTCATGTTGAGCTGGGCGCGGTTGGATATCTCTCTGCGCCAAAAGGGGAGTTTATCACGCTCTTTAACGCCATGAAGCCCCAGCAAACAACGGGAAGCAAAATCACCAATATTCCTTCGCTGGCCGGGTACTTCGATGGACCTATTCGCCCTGGACAGAAGTTCAATACAAACCGCACAATGACGCAGAGGGGGCTTGAGCTCATTTCCGGGTTGTTGACCCTGATAGATCGTGATAAGTCATATTCGTGAGTGCACAACAGGTGTCACTTTTTGACCGATTTGTTTTAACCACGCACGTTTAGGGAACACATTTCGAGGCGCCATTCGTTCCGCCTTCAAGCGGGTCATAAGGCAGCGTTCATCTATGCAGAGACCACGATGTACCGATTCATGGAAGACCTCGCAGCACCGAGAGAATGGTTCAAGGCTAATGTCAACGCCATTGTCATGGAGTATGCTCCTCATCATCCCATTCAGAAAGAAGACATTATCGTGGGTGAGCATTCCTATCCTGCTGTTCATGGTCGAGTTTATACTGATCTTCCTCAACAGTTTTCGGTACTTTGAGTGCATCAGAATATGCGCTCTTCGTGAGCCACTCTCATCCGAATGGCCAAGCCCATTTTAACGTCTTTTCGGATCGTGAGAGTGGTCGACCATGGGGCACCTTCACCACAGATACCGAGTACCCTTCCGATGAGGGCGGCCCCTCATACATCGAAGAGATACCCCGAAAGGCGGTGTTCGCGAGCAAAGTGTCACCGGTGCGGATGAATGCTAAGTCCGATGACAAGGATTGGGACACGCTGGTGTTAGCCAGGCTCCGCTTCCCGACGGATGCAACGGAGCCTACTTGGGAGTAATGTCGAAGGTTGACTTTGATCGCATACCTATTTATTGATTCTGTCCGGTTTTCACTGACTAAGTGTATCATCTATTCTCATGTTTTATTGCTGTATCTTGCGGAGCTTTGTTTTACTACATGATTGGTCTCTCCCTCCCGGACATTTAATTTAGCACTTCATGCATGTACGATACCCATCAATTGAGCTTTTGGACTGTCCTCTGAATCTGCGGCTTGTGATTCTTTCGAGGCAATATGACCTTCGGGTCGATGAGACACGTCCGATGGGTGTTTAATTATGTCTGTCACGCGGGACGCGGGAATATATATACATTCACGTGCATGCAGTCTGCTTGCTGATAGGTCCAAGTCTGAGATCATGCTAGGCTTCCGAAGGTGCCTCTTTTCGGACAATGTTCAGTGATAAAGTACAGTCCGAGCGGCGAAGAATTGAAAGAATACGCACTCTTTTTATCTTTCTTCAATCTTTAACCATGCTGTGAGCTGCGCAAAGTCCCTGTGTGCTATCCCTGTTCTATTCCTGCATTCAAAGACAGCTTTCCAAACTTGCGGGTCTCGATCGCTTGGGAAGAATGATTATAGTATAGTCACTGGCCCGGCGGTTACAGTTGAACGGGGAGACTGCACTGCGTGTAATCGCGGCATAGAATGTTATTCTTGCTTGGTGCCATATTTAAGTATGCTAGGAACACGAGAGACGAACCAGTCGAACCGATGACCTTGTAGAATAGGAGGGATGCCAAGTATGGAAATACTGGAACTGCTCGGTATTGCTTGCAAGTCACCGACTACTAGTAACTACAACAGCCTCAGCCGCCACTGCAAGGTACCAACACTTGAACTAGAACATTTGACGTTTCCACGTGTACACCCAAGGTACACATGGTCCGAGTCGCGGTCTGGGCTCTGACATTGCAGGTCTCGATAATTATAGAAACTCTGGCAGCTGCCACATGTTACCACCTACCACGGTATGTAAATTTTCTCGTCTGTCTTTCAATGCCACTTGCCAACTTGAAAGCTCAAAACGGTGGTATGTAGGTCATACTGAAACACTGCCGAAACTACCGCTTAGAATCGGACAACGCTCTCGACGTACTAAAAGACGGATAATCGATTCATACCAGCCGGCTGAGCTGGATGTCCGATTCCTGCAAAAATAGCCTCGATTGTGGCATGTAGCTGTAATTCTCAGGACAAGAGGACAGGTATAGATGTTGGGAGGAAGTTCTGCCCCTGTGAGCGTGGCTACATGTCATGATTCCAAGCCATATTTACCAAACGCTCCTGTTTTTTTTCGACCAGCACTTTACAATAAAAACATTTTCAAGGTCTTGATCGTCTCCATGGTATGTCACGCCAGATATGGGAAAATGAGTCTATCCATTGCTTCATGAACGGTGCTCGCAGTGCTACATTGTCACGGAATGTTTAGTGGACGAGCCAAGGGACACGTCAATTCCCGGCGGTCAGGACAGCCTGAACTCGGAGACAACTAGGACAGTGCTTCCGGGCTACCCGATCCAGCTTATCAAGCGATTTTGGATCTTGGTCACAGCCGTTTCAGTTGCCGAGGTATCGACGCCACGATGGGCTAATTTGAGGACGCTGCAGCGTGCATGACGGGAATTCTAACCTGGTGTTTACTTGGTAGTAAATGCTTGCCTTGCCGCGGCGTGTATAAGACTCCTCACTGTTCAACACCCACCAGTTGGAAGCTATTCCTTCGGTCACAATGAACCTCGGCTCTGTGTTTGCTAGTACTACGACTAGTACTACAACTGGTGAGTGCCTCGATATGAAAATTTCCTCGGTGACGCCTACGAACAAGTGTGTCAACAGCAACTAGTGTTGGCCCGTACCACTATGTCCCTACAGAGTGGATCTGTATCCTTGTGAGTTGTGTTATTTACGCAGTTTGCATCCATTTCACATTCTTCCCTAGTTCGTGGTGTTGTACAGTATCTCAACTGGTATGAATTTCGACTGTTGACGATGCACGATCATAACTTGACATCTTCAGTCCTCCACTTGGGCCAGGCGCTCAAGTATAAACTGTGGTGGATGATTCCCACAGCGACCTTCGCGGGTATCCTGGAAATATTAGGATGGAGTGCCAGGTTATGGTCGAGTCGGAACCCCAAGCTTTTGACGCCTTATGAGATGCAGTGAGTATTTTCAAGGAGGAATCACTCGTATGCACACCTGAACACTTTCGCTGCAGGATCGTCGGCACTATCATAGCACCTACCCCGCTAGTTGCAGCCAATTTTATCATCCTTGGCAGGATCATCGCTCAAGTTGGACCCCAGTATAGCCGTCTGACTCCAAGGAAATGTTAGTGTTGTTCTTATGTGCCAGCTTTAAGTCACTAATCTAGGGTAGATACCATCATTTTTTGCTGCTTTGTTAGTATTATACATTCAAGTGGCGTTAGCCCCTCATGTCTCCCCTCCTAGGATATCGCTTGCTTGGTTGTACAAGCTGTGGGAGGCGCATCCGCTGCGCACTCCGCCAACACGAAGTCAAGCGCTTCGATGGTATGTACATCATCCAACATTTCGTCTGACATTCACATCATCGAGACAGGGCGCGAACATTATGCTAGGAGGAATTGCTGCTCAGCTTTGTGCGTGATGAATAGTCCTGTAATCTTCTCTCACTGAAATTGACGTCCTCCGCTTTTCAGTTGCAATAGTGGTCTATGTCACTATGGCAGTTGAGATTCTCTTGCATTTTAAACATAATGCACCCTTCCGCTACGTTGAACAGTCTCGCATATTTGAGAAAGGTTCACGTACCGTGAGTAAGAAGCTGCGACTTATGCTTTGTGGCATGGCATTCTGCACCCTTTGCGTCTTCATTCGGTCAGCGTTCAACGCATCCTGTTATCAGCAGTTATGGCATGCTTAAACCTGTCCTTAGATCAGTGTATCGTACTGTGGAGCTCGCCGATGGATGGGATGGGCCAGTGATTTCGACGGAACGTTACTTCGGTATGTTATCACTATCTTCGCTAGGAATACGCTGACGATACTCAATGTCGAGTAGACTGGCTAGATGGTGGCTTGGTAACTCTCGCTATGTACACTCTCAATTTCCTTCACCCAGGTATCTTGCTGAAGGAGGACGACTCTACGGCTCATGGTTCACAGCAAGGCACTGATGAAGAATCTAGTAGGACCTAGATTTAAAACTTCGATTGCTCTTGAATTTTATTACGAAGAGGCAATGGACCGTCACATTTACTAGTAGAGCAGCCGTCAGCATAATAGTTTGACGGTCATAATTTATGACCATAGATGCCCATGCAATCTTTTCACGAATACCTGGATCTTCCTCTATACCGCTTCTACTCAAGTATCTAATACTTACAAACTTGTAAGTTGTGCGATTGTCGGTACTCTTGGGACATCTCTGGCATATCTATTATCTTGATATTTTATAATGACGCTTGTTTTCGCACTGCTTGTCTCCTGCCAGCTGCCGTACCACTGACTCCCATTCTCTCACTTAGGAACTGATTATCCAGAGCAACTCACCGTGGACAGATAATAAGTTATGGAAAGCCAGACAGCCGCGCCCTTAGTCAGTGTCACGCGTCCGTAATAAGTAAGAGGACTTCGTGCACCTCCGGGTCATCCGAGTCAGCAAATTTGGTTCCGTTTTGAGCAAATTTTGGAACATTGTTCAACCCATACTGTCGATCTGCTTCGAGTCTCCATCATTTGATTGATGATTTTCTTATGATGACTCGGGCTCACTCGCTGTCGGTCAGAGCGCTGATAATCGCCACTACTGCTACTAGTATGTGCGTGACCTCCTGCGTGCCCACCTAGTATGTACCGAATATTGTGGTGACTTGCTCTTCATCTTTACATGAGCGTTTGGTGGCTCCGAGACGTAACTCTGCTGCTGAACTTCTCCATGAGCCTTTTGCTCAGTAGAGCAAACACGCGCGCGCTATCTCGAATTCCTCGCGTGCCAAACTCTCCGAGACAAACCAGACTGAATTGCAGTTGTACTGTTGTCTCGCCCCTGTTCCAATTTCCTTACTAATCCTTGGGGTTTTCTTGCCTTCCGTCGTTGTTCACCTCATCACATGGCCGCGTCCTCGTCTTCTGCTCTGTCTTCGCCATTGGCTTTGGTCCCTCCTGTCTTGTTGGTCACAATGAATCAGCAACTTGCAGGCGATGCTGTGTCCGTCGTATCTAAGCCTGCTTCGCATGAACGAGTTTCGCGTTGACCTCTCTATTGATATCTCCGTCCAGTTGCCCGGGTCTTGCTGCGGTAATCGAAAGTATGTCCCGCCCCGCATCAACACAAAACAGGAGCGCATGCAAATGAGTACACATATCAGAATGATATGGCTCGGTCTGCCACTTTCAATTCTCCCACCTTTAGCTTCCGAATCATCCTCGGTCGCTTTGGAAGAGCTAACGATCGAAGAAGTGTTCATCGATGAGACTTCAGCGAGGCTGGGGAGGTTACATCATCTGCCTGACCGTCAGACTCACTCTGTCCTTAGCTTGCGTGCATTCTTCTGGCCTCCAGCTCCATCAATGTTTCATTTGATGGTGAATCCCGACAGTTATGGTTAGTCCGTCGAGAATCTAGGTTAGCACGTACACATCTCAGGGATATATCTTATGCTTCTGAGACGATCCGCACGAGGCGTGAAGGTGAATTCTATTTCATGGACAGACCATCACATAAAAAGGAGGTTTCGGCGCAACGACTGGGCCTAGTTAAGACGGAGCTCTGAGGATCTATACACTGCAAAAATGTTGTCAGCAGGTTTCGAACCGGCTGGAAACAGATTTTGAGTCTGTTGTGGTAACCACTTGGTTAAGATCAGTTAGGATCCTCCGAGGAATCCATCCATGAGTGAATGTCAAAGTGTGTTCCAATAGAAAAAAAACCCTGCCGTCGGCAGGTTTCGAGCTTGCGCGAGTCCGACACAAACATATTTCGATTATGTTGTAGTAACCACTTTTGCCAGGCGAAGTTGAAATGAACCCCCGAGGAAACATCCACCACAGGATCTTCAAGGCGTGTTCTGAGAGAAAAAAACCTCGTCTGCAGGTTTTGAACCTGCAGTGGTAGTGTCAGTCCAAGAGACAGATTTCGATTCCGTTCCAGTAACTACTTTGGCCAGGGCGAAGTTGAGATGAACCTCTGAGGAACTGTTCATCAGTGAATCTTCAAGGCGTGTTCGGATGGGAAAAAAAAACACAGCAGGTTTTGAACCTGCACTAGTACAGTCCAAGAGACAGATTTTGATTATGTTGCAGTAACCACTTCAGTCAGGGCGAAGTTGCTCCGAGGAATCGGGTGTATTCCAATCGAAAAAAAAACCCTATTGTTCGGCAGGTTTCGAACCTGCGTAGTCCAAGAGAAACGGATTTTGATTCCGTTGTGGTAACCACTTTGGCGAGGACGAAGTTGAGATGAACCTCCGAGGAACTGTCCATGAGTGAATCGTCAAGGCGTGTTCCAAAAGAAAAAAACTCTATTGTTAGGCAGGTTTCGAACCTGCGTAGTCCAAGAGAAACGGATTTTGATTCCGTTGTGTTAACCACTTGGATCAGGACGCTTGCTGGCCAACTTTAGACGAACCTCCACCCTTGGCAGCACTTTTTAGAGCTTCTCACGGTCTGTTAGACCCGGTTTCCTTGTAGAGCGCAACTGGTCTCTGAGACCACCCTCCCCAGGGAGGTTCTCACCAAATTCCCTAACAGGTTTATGCAACCCTCTCACACACCTCCACGAGGAGCAACCCTCCCGCCCTGCATCCGTTTGCGCACCTCGTCAGTATCCCTTGCCTCGCCTCAAGAGGCACAACGGTACCCTTGCGAACCACCTCACGGACTCGTCTGTTATCATCAAGAGGGTAGCCCTGCCAGTCTTAGTGGCCTCATTGAGAGCCTGGAGAGCCCTAGCACATTATACCAAGCTTCTCCCGTCATTAATATTGTTAGTATAGTGACCCTCTCGTAGCCTCCCACCATTTCCGTTACTGGTTATGTTATTTTATTCAATCAGTTACTTATGTTTGGTGAGATCTCCACAGGTTTTCCGATGCGCGAAGACATTAGTGTTCTGAGATGTCCTGGATGAGACAAGCAGGCTATGCAACTGCTATACTAGTATTGACATAACAAATTACAAAGCATAGTAGCTACCAATGTAAGTGGGGTAGGGTGGTCATGACAGAGCAACTAGACAATGAGGAAAGGCATGAGGAGGGTTGTGAGTCGTGACTATGGATTTAATACATCCCTGAAGGGTGCATTGTAGGTGCGAGAGGGTGCGAGAGAGGGTGCGAGAGAGGGTGCAGGAGGGTGCAGTGGATATATGAGAGGGTACGAAGGAGGATGCGAGAGGATGCGTTGGATATATGAGAGGGTATGAAGGGAGGATGCGAGAGGGTATGAGAGAGGATACGAGAGGGTATGAGGGAGGATGTGAGAGGGTACGCTGGATGTATGAGAGTGCGCTGGATGTATGAGAGAGTGCGCTGGATGTATGAGAGAACCAGTCTGCAAATACCAACAAAAACATACCCTTGTACTAGCAGTATTCCTCTGGTGGGTCTTCAGGCTGAGTGTTTGAGTCTACAATTATGTTCGAGCCCTCAGAAGAGCTTGCACCCGGAGACGGAGAAGAAACGATATGATACAAGTCATTCCTGGCTTAAATAGAGCTGATGTTGAGGGATGAATCTCGATGATTAAGCGAGTGCTTGGTGCAGAGACAGAATGAACTCACATAAACCAGCGAGGGCACCTCATACTGTGCAGCATACCGATCCAATGAATAGACGAGAGAGGCCACAGAGGGCTAGCTAACCATGCCTGGTGCAGGGATGCCCTACATACGGGCAAGGAGGTCGTGTATGCGTTCAAGGTAGATTTCCAAGTAGGATACCTTGACGACATATTCAAGGTGAGAGTTCGATTCCACGATTGATTTAAAAATCTGTTCCGTGATGCGGGGTATAATTCCCTTCAGATCCGAAGAGTCAATGTCCGCGCCCTAGGTAACAAAATTCAGGAGGGAAATTTAAAATGATATGAATTGAACGCGCCATCATGCTGAATGTCTTTCCACTACCAGTCTGGCCATACGCAAAGACCGTGCCATTGTAGCCATCCAGGACATCTTATTACCGTATTAGCAATACTATCCTTCCGCGAAATGATTTAACAGTGCATGAAAGGCACTCGATATCACAAGACGGGGTGCCTTCTCTCACCTTTCACAATGCTGCATTAGGAGGTAATCAGATGAGGTACACGACAAAGATGTGTGGTTCTCGGAGCCACTCACTCTTTAACACCGTAATCGAATACTTTGTGTTGTTTTGTGCCCATCAGAAAAACTCTGTCGAATGTGAATCCATCCTTCTCTGGCCCAGAAACGGCCTGCGAGTTCTTCATCTGCACGGTCTGAAGATTCTCATCGAAGGCGACTACGATATCGCCGCCCTCTCTGAGTTCGAGAGCATTTTGGGGCCGAAACCTATTCAGTCGCGTCAGTAAGTGATTAGAGAGACACTTCGTGCATCTTGATTGAATCCCGAAGCTAGGTTAAGACGCACCGACAAACAACCTTAATATTGGTTGAGGACGCCATGATGGTGCGTCTAAGAAAGAAAGAAAGAAAATCTAAGGTACTTGTGTGGCCAGTAGTTGCGCTATCAACGAATGGTTCGAAGTCTAAGAAATCATTTTGGACACGGGCCCTAGGGTATGACATGGGTCGACCCGGGTCATACCCACACCCGACCCGCGGGTACTGAAACTTTCAGAGGCCTACCCATACCCACCCGGGTCAGAGCATCGCGGGTGCACAGAGTATATAGGCTGCATCGAACTTGACAAGGTAAGGTCGAGGCTTGAGAGGGCGTCTGTTGGAAGACGGAGGAGTAAACGACAATGGAAAATTGATATGCACTGACCGCTACAATGGTTTGTTTGGTTCTGCGGCAGCTTGTACACAAAGTCATGTGACATGACGCGACGCTCTGATTCAATGAAAATCCTTTACACGATGCAGATGAATCACCACGTCGAGGACGGACACAGCGCTGGGCGCCTGTTTACCATAAATATATATGTTCACCGTTCCCCTTCCTCACGACAATTCCTGCATGAACTGATTCCAACCGTCAAGACATCATGGCAGTCAAAACATTGGCCACCACCTTTAGAGTGCGCCATGACGACTCAGAGGACATTGCTCTTCAAAACCTCAAGGATAGTAATACAGCTATGCCACCTGCGGTGCCTGCGCCGCCATAAGTTCTGTCCTCTTATTTTCCTTACTTTTGCTGACTGATGCTCTCCCCAGATATCGCGTATGTAGTGGCATTTTTGCTTATCTACTTGCTGACTCTGAGGTTCCTCATACTTAGATACAACATCGAACCATTCTTTTTCACGTCCTCCATAAATTGCATACCCTCACAATATCAGGAAGCACTTGTCCATAACGAAGGAGATCGTAAGTTCAAATCTTCCATTTTGGATGCCATGCTGATATTGTGCGATAGACATTACTATTACCCTGCCATTTGTACGAACGCTGCGCAAAAATTCTCGATCATCACCCACCTCTCTAACATCGCTATCGCAACCCCCAAGTAAGCGACCCATCATCTGTCATAGTCATCCTGTTCACCTTCAACAGATACTCAGATCAACACCCAGGCTCCTTTCCCAATGAGTGGTATGTGTATCAAGATCCTTATATTCACATTCCAACGTCCGTCCTAGATGGCAGCATGCTCTTCATTGACCTCCTCGTAATTCACATGGTTCAGGACGTAAAGACAAGCACCATCATCTCCTACCATCCTGAGTCCACATGGTGCCGGACATCCGCGAAGCGCCTTCACTCGCTCATGCAGCTTGTAGGGGGCAGTGTATACTGGCAAAAAATATTTGCCAAGTCAAAAGACCCGATGTTCCTCTTCCTTGCGATTTTGTGTATCTCTTGCACTATCAATCACTCCTTCATAACTTTAAGGTATCAGTACAATTTATCGCGAAGACCCACATCCGGCCATGGACTCTACTTATGAAGACGGAGTCTGAGAATCTACTCAGCAAAATTGATCGTCTAGAAAAGCGATGTGCGATGCTGTCCGACCCGACTGAAGAATGCGATGACCCTTGCTTTTGCGACTGTTAATCTCAACGACAGTAGGCAGACGTGAAAACTGACGGAGGCGACAGTCAGGGACTCGGCAGCTATGAAACAGGTATCCTTCTTTCCTGAAACTTAAGACGAAGTCTGGGTCCATCAACGCCCCCAAGCGGAGTATGAAAGTCGTTTGCTTGCTCAATGTCTGCAACAGCGCCAAGCATGTACCATCTTACTATAGGGACGTTGATTTCCATGTTTTATTGAATTCAAACCATGTTATCAAATCTAAGTTACATCTCTGCGAGTCTGGACTCTGGAGTTCTGCCAATTTTTGCTAACTTGAACACTATCGTGAACATTGACAATGATTGAAGCTTGCGAGGGTGGATGAGACTTGGAGGTTCAGCGCTTCAGCAGCCAATCAGATGACGAATAAAACTCGTACTGAAACATTAAAAACCCTGATTGTGGACTGAATATTGATGATAGCAGCACTTTGAATGGTCCAAAATAGCAGCACAGTAGTCCCTTGCATATTGCAAGACACCATGAAGTACTCTTGTGAGGGAAATGACTTGGAACATGACACTCTTCGTGCAAAGTGTGGGTTGTTGCAACAGCCGCCACCAATAACTATGTATAGTCAGTGTACGGTACTACTAGTACTAGACCAAAATTCATCACAGTATTGAACTCAACAACCTACCACAACCACCTCTCCACTGAGTCGCTAACGGCCTTCAATGGCATACCTCTTCAACATCTGCCTCCAAATCTTTGAAGCTACTAGATTATGTTTCTTTGACAAATCTTAGCCTGCTTAAACTCGGATTTTTCACGGTGACTGCTTGTACTTTTGTCTACATTCACTGCCTGCGATGTCACTCTCAGCTAGGCCACTGCTAACGACAAATCCTGCACTCTCGGCCTCCTGCTGTTATCTGACACTGTCATCCTGCTACCACCACCCGTAGTGGCTGGGGCCTGTTCTTTTGGTCATGGGACATGGGATGCGTTGGACCGTGATGAGATGATAGATTTCGTTATGAGCTGCTGGGATGAAGAGGCAGGTTTGTTCCCATCAAAAGATCCATGCCATCTCGAGCTCACATTATCTCCCAATGAGCGCATCCTCGCAACCACAGAATACTTTCAAAAGACAGCGCAACTATGGAACCTCGAAACCAATCAACCCATCGGAACACCACTTCATCATGAAGACTACGTGAACTCCGCGACCTTTTCTGCAAACAGAAAGTTCCTCGTCACTGGCTGCAATGATGACCACCTATACATATGGGACGTTTGCGCTATCGTCAACGAAGCTGGCCTTCCATCAGATATCGTAAGTTCATATACATTTCATTTTCGATGACACTGACAACGGATCTGCTCCCCCAGGTTGATGCTACACCACGACCAGCGCCAAAGATGAAATGTACTCCTCAAATACCTCCAGGGTTTTTTGGCGATGCACTGCGAGAGGCTAATGTATGTGATCTCTATCTACTATTCGATACTTTGACAAATATATCGTCAGTTGCGTACTCGTCTATCCCAATCCCATGGGCCGCATAACCGTCCCACTCCAGCACCACGTCAACGCACCCTCAGTCCTTTTTCCTCCTTTTGGCACCACTCCAAGTCACATGGAGCAACTGAACGCGACACCCAATCCCGATCCCGACCTTTTAGCTGGACTCGAAACCTAGCATTCGGCATACTCCGCAGACGAGATAGATCGGACATTGAGTTGCGAAAGGTTGAGGTCCTGTGCACAGCGGGAAAGCCTGTGCGTTTTTTTGCTCTTTCACGGTTCTTCTTTATCGCTGAGTCCTCTTTGCGCAGAGATACTATCACGCCAGAAAGAAGAAGCCAGCTACCAGCTCATCTCGAGCCCCCAATACTCATACCACGCAACAACCCAGCGGAGCAGCACAGAGCACATCATCATCATCACAGCAATCACGTTCCACTACCGCTGCTTCAACATTTCCTGCAGTCACTAGTGCCGCAGGGACAACGGGAAACACCCTCGCATCCTTATATCCCTGTTGTTGTATGGATGTGGCGTGTTCGTTTGTGGGCTGGCTGTGTGCATACCTATTCAGAGCACAAGCGGTGAATATTAGTGACGCAGTCCCAACTACCGCATTGGCTACTAGAACGACGCCGCAACGCAATATCACTGTAATACAGGACACGTTCCTTGTTCCTTATTGTCATTTTCTATCGTTACTACGCGACCTGGCGCGATTCAGTGGACAACTATTACAAGATGACTCCTTTGTTACCTGCAGACTCTCCTCCCTACACTCTAAGAACCTCAATTGTCGCATTCAGATCGCTCTGGATCTGCTGCTTGAGGACTCTAAGATAGACAACCAGTGCATGAACGAAGGGTTTTCCATACCACCTCATTCGCCACGGGCCACCTCGCGCCTCCGCCGGACTCCATCCCCTTTTCGCCGGAGGGCTACATCAATGAGCCACCTATCCAGTTTTTGCTGCCGGCCTGCCACACATCATCTTTATGCCGCAGTTCTACATAGTAGTTTTGGGTTGTCGTGTTCCATGACTTCCGTTGAGCCACAGGGTGGCCTTTACAATGATTGGGCACCCCCGAGTCCACTGAGTTGCAAACTCGACGCATTTGTGCAAAGCGCTGGACCCTGTCCATCTTGTACACTCTCACCCTCAAACATGTCATTCAACAGTTGTTCGTGCGCACCTACTGAAGACGGAGAAGTGAATTAAGCGTTGAGAAGCAGTCAGAGAACTAAAGGATGGTGTATGTCGCATGAATTAAGTACATTATCCATTCCTTGAGGGTAAATAAGACTGGTCCGAGTGACACATACGTATATACGGTACAGCATAAAGTTGAATCGAGATTTGCCAAATTATAACTAAGAAACAGAGACAATGATGAAATAAAGGGGGGAAAAAAAGAAATTTTATTGAACTTCATGACGCTGACTGAAAACTCAGCAGGTGCGATGACGGACTTTATGCAGAAACCAAGGAGCTACGATAGCAATGAAAAGTGGAATGAAAACTAGACCAGACAGCGACGTAAGGGATACATAGGGCAGGACGTCTTGAGGCAGAAGAGGGAGATTACAGCACGAGTAGGGTATCGGTGGCGAGCAGCGGGCATGGATACGTGTCGATGGCTCTAGGGTTCCAGCCCTGAAATTATCGCTGTAAATCGGCACGCCTATAACCTAGATTAGTGAAAGTTCAAAAGACAACTAAAGCGACGGAACGTATGAATAAATGTGCTACATTTGTACAAGGGTGTGATTAAGGGAGAGAATTTGGGGAACATTTTTGGGCGAAGATGGTGTAGCGCCTCCTCCTGCGACTGAAGGAATCGGATTAGTAGTTCATTTGCACGGTGAACACAACAAACGATGATGAGTAGCGTTGAAGTTCCGAAAATAAATTCTGAGATTTCAGAGAGGCATTATGGATAGCCAAATTAGGAGGATGGAACAAGGGTGCGAGAGGGTGCGAGAGGGTGCGAGAGGGTGCAACAGAGGTGCGAGAGGGTGTGAGAAGAGGGTTCGACGGAGGGTGCAACAGAGGTGCAACAGAGGTGCGAGAGGGTGCGAGAGAATGTGACAGAGGGTGCAACAGAGGATGCATCTGAGGAGGCAATGGACGTACAAGAGTGGTGCGAGATGATGAACAGGATACCAATTAGTGTACTAAGAACTTGGGAATGATATGATCACGTACTTAGAGCAAAGCTATTGAAACACACCTGCAAAACTACTGAGCTGACCCAAGAAAAGCAATATGTTGAATAGCGCTTGTGTTAGTGGAGGAAGTATACACAGACAAATCGAATGAGCAGCAGCCTCAGGCTGAGTGGGGGCACAATGCGTGACAGCCTGAGTGCATGTGGAGGTATGACTCAGGCGGTAGTGGAGGCATGATGGGCGGTAGTGGTAATACAGTAGATAGCAGTGGGTGTGGCGCCAGAATAGCGTCTGGAAAGATTGATAGCATTGGAGGTATCCTGAAGGCCTACATGGGAGGGGCCCTGGAGGCTCGTAAGGAGGTGCTGGAGGCCCGCGAGGGAATGCGAGAGCATGTACTATTATTAGATGGCGGGAGGGTGGGTCTCAGAGACTAGTTTCTCATAACATAGAAACTGGGTCTCTTAGACCCTTTATAGGCACCGAGAAGTGCTGCCTGAGGTGCGAACCTCCGAAGAACTGTCCATATCGACAGGTTTCAAACCCCGCACCACAAGAGAGCAGATTTCTAGTCTGTTCTGGTGTCAAACGGTTAGCTATGTATATGACTACTCAAGATAGGCCTTGAAAAATCAAAGAACATCATGCATTGACAGTAGAATCACATGGGATTAGCAGTCATTTACCAAAAATGAAATAAAAAGACTAGTGTGCGTCTAATTCGATGGACACAAAACATACCAGTGGAGCAGGGCCAGCGGCCTAAGCCCAGAGCAAGGCAGACAAGCTGGGGTGATGATGGATGCTAGCTACGAACATGGTGAAACCTAGTCTACATGCTGACTAAGCTGTAGAAAGGGCCGATAGGACCCTTGGTGCGTAGCTCCTGCCCTTGGGACCCCTGGTCCACCAGGAATAAGCGAGTCGGGGGCTGGCGCCGGCGCCGTCACGATATGACACTGTAACTGCAGGACAAAAAGCCGGACAGCCGCGCTATACTTACTATGGAACCTACAGGTCGTCGATCGCATTAATCTCTTTAGAGGTGTACGGAGTCCTCAACTTGTGACTACCATTTTTGGCTCATGTCACGGGTAGTAACAGAGCGGCTGTCCGGCTTTCCATAATAAGTAGTCTAACGTTGGTCCAATGGTTGCCGTGTGTAGTCCCGGCATGTTCTGTTTTTCTGATGGACCAACTTCCAAATCCTCCTCGGAGAGTCGAGAGTCGAGACTACTACTATGATATATCTAGTACATGAGTAGCCTCTCAGTGCGCCGCTCCTCCCAAGACCTTGACTCAGTTGTGATCCTGCAAGTTGTGCATCCAAGAGCCGCATTTGCTGCTGCTACTAAAATTCCTCATTCGCTGTCGCTGCCAATCTGCATTTTTTTCGCTCCCCGCGTCAGCTCCAGCCATGCGGCACAGAGTTGGACCAGTCCTCTTCGACATCGATCATCTTGCAGATAGTTGGGTTTCTTCGTCCTCTCGAGAGCAGTGCTAGACATGTGAAGGAGCTTCCGGGCCCTGCCTCAGTTCGATCTAAGATTCAAGTTGCTTCTGGAGGACACTCATCCCCCGAGACACCCCATTAAGCGCAAACCCGGCCAGGTCACTGATAGGCGACTCGCCATCGGCGCCAGCAGTCGGAGATATTCTCTCTGTGTAAACCACTGTTGGACCTTCAATTGCGCTGACCCTCGGTTCCGAGTCCTGACCATTAAATCGTTGCGGCGCTGGGGAGCGCCAGTCCCCGACTTCAACTTCAATAAATGACGATGGATTGGTAGCAACCGGTCTATCGATATACAAACAATCAGGGACTTGGCAGATCACATGCAGCACTACAAATTTCGCAATTGTATTCGAGTCAGGCTAATCATCATCAGCCTCTAGCTCCATGTCAAAGATGTCATGGCTCTCCATTGACAACTTTAGCAGGTGACTGACCTCCGAGCTCGTCGGTAGCCTTCCTTTTGCCTTTTGGATCGTGGAGAGCTTTCTTCGTGTAGGCCGCACATGCGCAGCAGCTACATACGCCGAAATGACTTCTTTTGAAATAGGCATTGATCATTCCCGCTCTCGATCTGTACGAATATCTCTCACCTCTGCCAGCGCATTCTGTTTGCATTCTAGACGGGCTGTCATGTCCTGTCATGTCCTTGATAGTGCGCGAGACAATTTCCTGTGACAACGTTCAGTAACAAGCACGCCAAACTCATGAGCAAGAATCTGACAGAAACAGCCTTATCCGAGAGTAAGTAACAGCTCATCACCCAAACTTTACAACACTTGACTCCAGCATGAAATAGGTGTAGTGCGCGTTTCCGGGCATGATTAGCGAGTGCATCACACGTTTTTCGATGAGAGCTTGTTGTAGAGTGTGCGCTCCAAACGGCGAGCAAGATCATCAACAGATACTGAAAAACACATGGCTTTAGAGGCTTGCATAGCTGCTGAATCGAGAGCATGAGATGTGCTGATAACAGGAGAAGTACGTAGAGTAGTTGCCACCCCGGGACCGTACAAGTTCTTTTTTTTGGACAAGCGATGTATATTGTAGCAACTGACAAGTCTAGTTCTACAAGTATGCACTATAGCGGGGTTCATGGAACCCCGGTCCGAGGGAAATGCACTTACGCACTCCCGCTTTTGCGGGGTATGTGGGACTCTGACTACCTGGTTGCCTCGTTCATAGAGGGCCTGGGCGGTGTGATACCCACTAAAACTTCGAGGGCGATGGCCGGGACCGTACAAGTTCTGAAACTCAGCAGCAAGTAAAGTGCCCCGTGATCTTGTGCAAGCAGGTGGGACTGATGCGGTCAAAAGACTCTCGAAGAGATGATATCATCTGACATGCTTGCGATGAAGGATGTTGTGAGGCGGGCAATCTTTAATATCGAGTACTCGAGGCGGGTTGTTTTTTTTAGCTCTAGAGACAATAGACTCGGTATATTATGCAACAACTTGTATGACATCGATGAACTGTACAGTTAAGTGTTCCCACGCATCGTGCCCTCCCACATTCGTGGGAAGTCGGGGAACTTGACCATCCGATACTTGCATAATTAGGCACCACAACGACACTCAATGACATCCAGAGGTACAGTGAGTCAGAGCATTGTGATTGAATTCATGTAATGACTTATCGAAGAACAAAAATATTCTTGCAGGATTAGTAACGTTCTCGATTATCTCCTGGTCCGACGATCCGACTTGTGCGTTCACTATCCGAGTTCATGTACCACAGTCAAATTCATAAATGTGCTGTATTTCTTATTTAGAACAGATTTACTGGATTACCGGAACACTACCGGCGAATTTGGCAGAAAGTGCACATCATAGGCTGCACGTGATATTGGCTTGGCCTGTGCTCGTGTGCTTGCCGTGTCACGACTGTTATCATTCCCTGAACAGCTGTAGCACTTGCTAAACCCTAGATAAACCCATGTATGGCGTGCCATGAGCGTCGGCAGGTTGTGATTTCAAATCGCACAAACCAAAATGGTACTCTGACATCTCGGATAAGTAATAGTTTGCTCACTTTGTTGTGTGATGTCCCCTTCTCGTAGCTCACAAGCAAGTCAGGCCAGGGCCCACTATGACAGCTCATTGGTTTATCCGCGATCTAGCAGCCAAGTCACATCAACAATGCTGCCACGATACTAATTTAACACCCTACGCGATCCGAGCTGATCTGTTTTATAGAAAATAGCTTTGCTTTAAGAACAAGCTCTTCATTTTTCAATACCACTTATTGCGAGCAATTTTTTCTGTCACGATGGATATCAGTCCTACGACTGGTGAGTGCCGCAATATTATTGTGTCGTGACGTCTATGAATAATGTGTGGTCAACAGAACAGGCTAGTGAGGGCCCATACGGTTATTGTCCCTACGGAGTGGATCTGTATTTTTGTGAGTCGTGTTATTTGGACGTCTCACATTCTTTTCAGATTTTTCCTTAGGTTCGTGGTGTCGTACAGTATCTCAACTGGTATGAATTTCTGCTCTTGACGACGCACAATCGTGTCATGATAGCCTAACACCTTCAGCCGTCCATATGAGCCAAGGCGATCAAATGTAAACTCTGGTGGATGATTCCCACAGCGACCTTTGCGGGTATCGTGGAAATATTCGGATGGAGTGCCAGGTTATGGTCGAGCCAGAACCCCGAGATTTTGATGCCTTATGAAATGCAGTGAGTCTTCATCAAGAAGGAACCACTCGCATTCCCACTCAAGCGCCATTACTGCAGGCTCGTCGGCACTGTCTTAGCACCCACTCCACTAGTTGCGGCCATATTTGTCATCTTTGGCAGAATAATCAAGCAACTTGGACCCCAGTTCAGCCGTCTGGTCCCAAATATGTGTTGGTGTTACTTTGACGTACTGGCTTTTAAGTTACTGATTTGGCGCAGATTACCGTGGTTTTTTTGTTCATTTGTTAGTACCACACATACAAGTGATGCCAACACTTCATTTCCTCCGGTTCATATAGGATGTCATTTGTTTGATCGTTCAAGCTGTTGGAGGCGCATTGGCTGCGCAAGCCGTCAATGAGAACGAAGTCCCACATTGGTGAGTACAACTTCTAGTACCTCGCATCATTTGCTTAATGGAGACAGGGCGGGAACATTATGCTAGGAGGGATTTCTGCCCAGTTTATGTGCGTGATGCGTGATGCGCGGCGCTGTGTGATACTTTTCTCACCGATACTCATTCTCTTCGCTCTTTAGTTGCTATAGTGGTCTACATCTGCTTGGCGGCCGAGTTTTTCTTGCGTCGGAAATACAACGCACCCTTCCACCACCCAGGCCATTAATTCGGGAAAGAGAAAAGTCAACATTCTACGAGTAAGGAAGTACGAATAATGATTTATGGGATGAGCTTCTGCACCGTCTGCCTTTTTATTCGGTGAGCATTCTGCACATATTGTTATCAACAGTTATAATTTGCTAATTTCGTCCCTAGATCCGTGTACCGCACAGTGGAGCTCGCCGATGGGTGGTCAGGGTCAGTGATTGCGAACGAGTCCTACTTCAGTAAGCCGCAGCACTATCTTCACACGTTTCCGACAGAATACTGATTGTCGATAGACTGGCTCGATGGGGGTTTCGTGACCCTCGCTATCTATACTCTGAACATTGTTCATCCAGGTATATATTTGAAGCGGGATGCTACTGTTCATATTTCAAAGCCAGACGGAGACGAATTCGTTCAAGATTATGCATGTTGATTGTCTTTTGACGAATCGGGAGGCTCGGACTGTAAACGAGGAAGAGGTCGAAATAAGTAGCTCACCTCAGTTTTAGTTGGAAAGCCTGAGGGAAGGGGACATTATGGACGCTGAAACGTGAATGTGTATAAAATGGATACGTACGAATGATGTATTGTGATATGTCTTTGCGACATAGCTAGTTTCACTTGTTGCTAAGTAGTAGCATATTTAGATGTGGTGTACCATTTGTATCCTGCTTTGCAGATCTGTTTCTGCAATGTGATGTTTTGATAGCCTATAGTTATTAAGATTTCCGCGTTCCTCATTTCTTACAAAGCATTTAACTTAGATTCTAGAGCAGGTGGGTTGCCACAGTTGCTAGAGTCTGGGGTAAGTACATCTGCAGTAATTATTTACTACCACGACTGCGTGCGAGACACCACCGAATTGAGCCGTTTCGATGGACCCCTGCAGGGTGAACATGTCTTGATTATTACAATATAACGCAACGAGCTATGACGAAATTACATCAAGCGTCGCCAGTCAATGGTCAAAAAACGTTACGTCGATAACCACAAACCGAAATTTGACTTGTTGGAAAATCACTGATAATAAGTAACCAAGATAATATCTACCTTGGCGTTACAAAGTAAACAGCTCTGTATGTAGAGCAATCCCACCCACATCCATACTCATTGTCAAACCAAATCTCGCAACTGCATTCTGGGCTTCTCTGGTCAAGCTCTCTGGGCCACTAGCGCAGACCGCGACTCCCCCACCCGACTCGTGCAATTTCTGGCTTTCATCAAATCGGATTTCGTCTGAATCTTCCATTTCAGATGATGGCGAAAGACTGATGAAGTCCTTGAGAAGATCCTGAACAACGGGCGCGAGACTGTGACGATGGAGTTGGGGATATGAGGTACCGCTTCTGGATCGCAAAGGCACGTTACGAAAATCGAAATGTGCAGGTCAATGGTGCTATTCGACGCTGCCGTAGCAATATCTATCAGCATCGGAGCAAACCATTCTATCTGACCTGTGCAAATGGATCAGGATGATATAATGCCTGTTGTAAAAAATGAAATACCGAAAGATCTAATGCACCAAGTGAATTCGATTCTCCTTGTTCGTTCCCCTTGACTGCGGCCTAGTTTGACACACCTACCGACGATATCGTCTAGCAGACCAAGAGTGAATGTGACGCCAGACCCGCCGGCTATAAGCAACACGCTTTCGTAAAGACCCAGATCGACACTGGATCCTCCATAGGGACCATCCAGCATGACTTGCACGAAAGCAGCCGAGTCGCTCTCGGACTTATCGATTTGTAAACGTTCTTGTTCCTTTCGGGTATAATTATTCAGTGCCCGCGTCCAGTCTCCATCATTTCGTGCAGCGAGAAGGAATCCCGGCGAAGAGAGACACGAATGGGAAGGTGGGGAGCCGAGAGAACAGTGAGGGCATGGGATTCAAACACCCTGTTGGAGAAGAAAACGCGTAGTCTGACATGCTGGCCAGCAAGCCAACCATCGTCGCAATTATGAACGCGGATCTGCGAAAGATGAACTCAACATCTTATCGAATAACGCTCGAATATTTTTTGTACCAGAGTCATGTGAGCGTCCTGCGCAGTAAGTGTGGCGTCTTTGATTCGATAGCGGAATAGGCGCATAACACATCTGCACCATACAATGCAAGGGGAGGGAATATCCACGGCGATGCATATAACGTATGGTAGCATATGGTGACAAAGAATGCCACGTATGTCAAAACGCTGCAACAGATGTTAGCTGTGGTGTGACGTGAAACAACAAAACTCACTGGATGACGAAGAAAACACTCATAAAACAGTCTCCTGACTGGCCTCAATGATGTAAGGACAATGATGCAGAGGAGCGCCAACGAAGCAACTCCAGAAGTCTCTTTCTGCGGACCAAGAATTGGAAGTCCATACTCTAGGTGGTTGCTAATCCATAGGGACCCATGAATGCATCCGGCAAGGAACATAGCTCTTCCAGCCATCCTATGCATAAGTTGAGTTTTCTCATATCCATTCCCTGGTCCTAAAAGTAAGGACAAAATTGAATTTTTTGTTGCGAACAAAAAGACAACAGGGAACTGTGCGAGAGCGAGAAATCCTACGTGGTTCAAATAAGTTCCTCTCGTTCGTAGATAGATGTGACTGACTGACCAGCTCTGTTCGGATTCGAAATAAGAGGCACATCCTTATGATGCAGAGAAGTACAGCTGCGAGATATGCCGATATGACCACGACTAAATATTACAATGTATCAGCTTTTCCTATCAGTAACACAACACCCTCGATGCGCACTTTGTCCAATATTGAGCCCGAGCTTCGGAGGAGACCAGTACGTCGGTGAGATAAGAGCATTCCAAGCTCCAATCAATTTGCGGCCCCTTCGATGGGTAGGCGGCGGCTCCTTGCCATCGGAATGGGCGGACTGATATCCATTGGTCTCTGAGATTCCAGCGATGCCCTTAAGGGAACGCCCATGCCTCAGCCCAAGAATCAAACTCGGAACAGAGACGGCCACAGCTAGCGCCACGCCAGTGCACCAGATTATGGTGAATTTCATTTGCCATTTGGGATCTTCGACGTATGAGCTGTTAATTCCTGCATGCGTTTCAATGTGTAGAATCAGATTTTTCAAACATACTTGTAAATTTGGAAGCTACTTGGAACGACTGGAGCAGCCATACTGTCACAGAGCTAGCGGAGGACTCTGAGGAGAGTCGATAACCTGCAGTAGTGCCTGATTAGTCAGTCGAAAAAACATTTTTTAGAAGTCCTCGTATACCTTGATCAAAAAAATGAGCACGGACCACGGAAACTCTCATGGGATGTCGTAGCTGACCATCACAGTCATGTCAGCAGGTCTATGCTACATTGGATATGCTGAGAGAGCGTAGGGGAAGTTCCAGCATGACTGGGGTTCGTAATGTACAGAACGATGCCGATATCAGCCATACGCCACAACATGGAACATAGAACAGCAGTACTCGGTGTAGGCGACATTAGTTCAAGCACAAGCAGTGAGAGTCGATCATCAGTACTTCAGTGACAGACTCTGGAACTCCTGCCCGAAGATTGACTGCTCCGCTTGCCCTATCTCCTGACACGCGCGCTCGCATGCTGCGTTTTACAGCTGATTGTCGCGCATGTATGCTTCGTATCCTCATGCCTAACCACAGCAAGTGGTGTTAAGTTTGTATTATTAGAAAGTCACTATCTCCGGATCATCCGCACAATATGCTGCACCTAGCGTGGCGTGCGTGACAACCAAACAAGAGGAATACAATGCTTTGCAGCCATTCTATACTTACAAAATGAGCACGCGCAAGCCGTTTAATGCGCGTACGCAATACCACTAAACCTTCCAAAGAGAGTCTCTCCCACTCCGAGCCCCACCACAAGGGAGAATATGAAACCCAGCTGGTACGTCCTGTTCACGTCCAGCACATCAACAACTCGACGAACAAAAAGAGCGACACGACGTACATAACTGTCAACATGAAGAGGTAACCAAGCAGCGTCTGCGCTGCAAACATGATCCCACGCGTGATATCATGCGCGGGAATGAAGGGGGGCGTGAAGCGCTTGATGAATCCGATGGGAGATGACTGAGTCGGCAGAGTATTAAGTTTATCTGACGCAATGATAATCGCCCTGAGCATTCATGAGGTATATTCTATAACAAAAAAGGAACAGACGTACTGCTGGCCCCAGTGGGAGTCCATCACTCCTCGACAAGCCGCTATCCAGCGCTCGATCAGCGCCAACATAAACAGTGCGATACATGTGCCAACCATGGCTCCCGAGCTCTGAGGAACCCAGCCAAGGAACCACACTGTATACTGGCCTGTTAGAAGAGCTCCTTGTATGCAGTTGAGAAGATATAACCCACGAGTATCCACTGGCGTAAAGTGCAGATACGAGAGCATGTTCCCCACGGCAAGAGTCATACCATCATCCATGGGCATATCCATGCCATTGTAGGCGAGACAAACTTGACTCAGACATAAGAGACAGAGCGCGAAAGATTCCCAGTTCATCTTGTAGGTGCTCGCAGGTGTGCACAGGTGATAGTAGTAACCCAGGAAGATGTTGGGATAACTTGACTATCCGTGGGAAGTATCTTCCCTTAGCGGAACGACGCTTGAGCCTCATCGGTAGACGTCCCGACTATGACAGGTGCCGGTAATCCCTGGACTGCCAGTAGCGTCAAATCGGTAGACGGAAGACAGAATTGTCGCAATAGAGTGCAGGGAAACAGGGTGGTCAAGACATAGACAAATCGGGCTTCATGAGAACTACGCTCTCGCTTACATTGGTCCACGTCTTAACAATCCTGATTCCTGAGGCGCACCACCTGGACTTTGCTTCACCGTACAATTCTGGTTGCAATGTATGGTTGTCGAGTGCACGTTTTCAGATTGACTTGATGTGCAAGAGACGCCGCAAAGCTCGCAGACTATGTGTTGTTGGCAAGTGGACACAAGTGTGACTTATCACGATGGGCCATTCGTTCCAAAGTAGATCGTATATCTTGCAGTTGAGGGCCTGTAGAGCTCTGCGCTAATTTCACGGAGCTTCGAGGTGCAAGAGGTCGAAAAAGGAGATGGCAAAACTGGTGGGAGCTGAAAAGAAACGACTCCTTATTGATGATTAGTGAGGCATTTCAGCGGAACGTGGGAATTTGGTGCCTTGAACGATCGTGGAAATTCTGCCAGAGGTTATCAATGCAGGATGAATGATAGACTTGCATGTACAGGTACTTGGTCCCGTCGGTTGTAAAAGATGGAAGCACCGCATATAAGATTCCAGCGTCACGGTTCTCTAAGTGCTGTAGTATGATTGGGCTTGTGAGATATCCTCATATGAATAAGGGTCCATATATACGACACTCTCGCACTCTATACCAATCTCTTGGAGTCTTCCGAGTCGCCACTCGAGCTCTTGCTCTCCATAGCCTCCTTGATGCCCTCCTGAACCACATCAGCAACACTCTGCGCCTCCTTCTTCACTTCCTGTGCCCATCCCATAGCTTTTAGGTTAAGCCCCGTCCCTTGTTCAATGCTCTCCACAATGCTCTTCACACCTTCGTTAACCGACTCTCGTCCAGCAGCAGCACTTTCTTTCGCGCGCTCCCAGGCTATGCCGCTGTGTGCAAAAGAGGTTCTTCTAATTTCTCTAAAGCGAGGAACATATCGATCTTCGAGCTCCCCGGTATACCCACCGACCCGAGAAGCGGTACCCGGAAGGAAATATATGAATGCGCTAACTAGGACTGTAGGAGGAAGGAGGATGCGTATAGGGAGTGCGCGCGAGCGAGTGAGGACAGATGTCGTCAGGGCAGAAATTCCAGTATAAAGTAATCCGGGATTTAATGGCTCTGTAGGATCACGGAAGGATTTTATGCGAGCTGTTCGCGGTTCAATGGTCAATAAGGGCGTAGTGGTCGGCACAAGACGATATAACTCACTCTCCACTTTCTCTTCAACAGAGATCCACTGGTCTATAATACCCTGCGTTTTGGAGTGGACGCCGGTATAGTAACCCGTGATCTCCCGCCGCACCATCCCAATTCGCTTCTCTAATGCCGACGGAGTGTCGAGTAGCATAACTTCGGGTATGGGTGTAGGGTATATGGAGAGCTATACGATGGTAGTAATTCAGACAATGACACGCTGTAGGAGAAGTAAATACCTTCGTCTGGCCAGAGCTCGAGGTCCAAGATCCCGAACCTTCAGCTGCATTTGCAACTACGCCCGCCTCTGCAGCCATTGAAGTGATGAGTCCTAGAGAGTATATCGAGTGTGAGTGTGTTCACCGTCTCATAAAAAAGTCTTACGTTTGGTCTGGAAACGGTATATGTCAAATACCGAGTGGATGTTCACGCGGACGCGGCGGCGAAAGGTGAAAGGAGCGTGGGAAATATATTTTGTGAGTACCACAGAGTCCAAGTACTAATTAACCATGAACCTTGAAGCAGCCTGATGAGCGTCGATGTCTCTACGTCCAAGCTGTATAGGACCAAGTGTCCTGCTAGGGAATGCTGTAAAATCTGCACACAAAAAATACATTTTTCATCTTAACACCATAACAGATCGCCATGCCTCATCGATCATCATTCATTACCTGTGACATACCTACGCCTCCGTCGCCGAAGGTGAGACGACTTCCATAGGAACTCTGGACATGTTATCTGATGATAGCATGCTCCCCCATGTTGACATCGGCGATGAGAGTAGAATCGCTCTGTAACATTACGACAATGGCTGGAACATGTGGCAGCACGTAAAGTATCTCTGCTGGTTCCGTGGCTGCTATTGGTATGGGTACTGATGTCTAACTGACGTTTCTCTCAGCTCCACCCTCTACCACCCCTCCTAGCCGTCCTTCGCGCGTAAGCAATATATCGTCGTCCTTGCACGCGGTCAGAAGGGTGACTGAGGCAGTAAACCAATTAGTGACTGCCCCACTTACCATTCTCTCTTCAGTACCCTCGTCCCTTGTATTGATGAGGTGCGCTGCGCTCGATGGATTCACCTTGGAAATTGACACGTACACAAATTGCATCCTCGCTCTCGAGACCCTTTTCTTTTCAATGTCACTTGGCGCTGTGTTGTCCCCGCGGAAGCTTATGCCAGGCCACCAGCTCAACACAGAGACAAGTGACTTTTCGTCGCCGGGATACTTTCTCCCGCCCTATCTGTAGGTAATTTATACGAGCAGAGGCATCAAACACGAGGAGTCTATTGCTCGCACAAAGACATTGTGGCGTGTGGAAATGAACGCTTGTGGACAGGTGAGTATTAGTAATTTATACGAGCAGAGGCATCAAACACAAGGAGTCTATTGCTCGCACAAAGACATTGTGGTGTGCGGAAATGAACGCTTGTGGACAGGTGAGTATTAGTAATTTCCACCTCTGCTGCATTACGCCTCAGGTACCTCATTGTAGGGAGTTCCACACTTGTTTCGTCGGTGTACTCTCGTATGCAGTCACATTTCTGGTTCTGTTGTTCACGTGCTACCACGCATTGTCTTGCCACCACTCTTCCACTGATGCTTCCACTGGTGCTTAGGCCTTCACACTCCTACCTTCCACATTTCGCCACTACGCTTTTACATTTATGTATCATATATAAGCCGCCATGTTTTATCGGCACTCACTCATCATCTCCCGCCGCTGAAAGTTTCCAGCAGTTTTCATCTCTCAAAGTCTTACTGTCCTCCTTATATCTTTTTATATCTTTCATTTCTACTCGAATCATGGAACAAGTGTGTTCAAACTTGAGGTGCTCTGCGGTCATCGCGATCCCAGAGGTATGTTCTTCATGTTCTGTTGTTGTCTCAATTCACATTTCTTCATCTGTAGGGTCAAGAAGTAGCGTTGTTCGACCGCAAGTCAGTTTGCGAAAAGTGCTACGGCAAGCCGATTTGCGCAAAGTGCGACCGTTTGTTGCACGTAAGATAATTATCTTTTTGGTCTTTGCATATTTTGCTGATCTAGACCTTCACCTGCAGGCGCCAGTCCCGATCGTCCCCGCAAGACAAATTGTGCCTGTAAGTGTTGACTGGTTCCGTCGCTGGTATGCTGATTTGTGACATCACCTGCAGTATTTATATGACGAAGCAGAGGAAGAAGTAATCCGTACGTATCTCCCGAGACCCAAGCGGGGCTACGCGATCAGGCGTGTACAAGAGCCCGACGGGGAGGGTGATATGCGGGACGAGTACGTTTCTCGCCGTGTGGAACCCAAGAAGAGCAGCACCGATGTCAAGCTGGTGAAGCGTGTCAAAAAGTTGTTCCATTCTACCCAGCGGGGTTCTTAGTACTACTAGTAGGAGATGCGATTATCTGCCGAGTGTTTGCACCAATTCTTAACCATCATGGACCATATTTTCATGTCTACTTATTATGCATATACAACATCGTGTAACCTTATGTATAACTAGACATCATCATGTACTTATGCGTATTTTCCTCTGGACCACACTTTATTTGCCAAATGTCCGCAAGTATGATCCGAAGCCTTGCCATAAACAGAACACTGCGGGGAAGATAGGTGCGTATGAACAGAGCTGGCTGACACTAATATTCACCATTGCACCGCGATCTGTCGAGCTGAGTCTAAACAACGTGAGCTGCGGTATAAGACGGAGAACAGGGCTCGATTTCATTGGTGTCCAGGAGCAGTGGTAACTTCCACGTGCACAATGGTATCGTTTGATCATAATTAAGCAAAACTCTTGTGTAACGTATGGCGATGTGCACCGCCATACAGCAAGTTGACCCTCAACAGCATGCTACTTCAAAAGAAAAGTTCAAACTATTCAAGAAAGATGTTTAGATTTATGTCGTACCATCACAACATTGTCATGCGTAACATACAAAGCTCCGATTTAGGACACAACCGTAAGATTCGTGACTGCCACTACGGGGATGGTGTTACTTGGGTGCCTTGATGTCAGTAGACTTCCCAAACAACTTGATGCGGTGAACCTCTGAGAATATGTTTCAGTGGCAGGGTCCATGATTGAATACATAGAACTAAAATTACCGTCCAAGACGATATCTGGGTGTTTTCGCGCCCAAGTCTCGCAAAATAAAAGGTTAATTTTCGCTGTCAAAATCATTCCTGAGTACACAATTCAAATCGCTCTTATTTCCAACAAGCATGATCGATGATCATCGACAACGTTCGGCTTTCTGTGGTCACGAAGCGCCGAACACGGTTACCGGTTGCAGAGGACTTTCATGTCGGGTTCTGGCCCCTGCCAGTGGGAGGTGGCGACATTCCATGAGTCAGTCTATCTATTTGTCGGGATTATAAGATGGCATGTGGATGACACAAAATATTAGGAATATTTTGTGTCAGTAGAGCTGATTTATTGTCGTGTCTGACTCGGTGTTGTGCTGTAGACACTGTGGATAGTAGTTTCGGTGAAATTCACTGGAAAATCCACTGGTGCTGAATGTTTCAGAGTAAGTTTCACTGAAACTGCATGCAGTTAATTTCATTGGAGCGCTGATTCTGAATTTCAGCTGATCATCCTCGATTCAGCACCACCCTTTCAGTGGAAATTTTACTGAATCAGATTCAGCTCTGCGTGTTCTAACCGCCTTCCTAACATGGTAATTTAGTTGGTGTTCTCGTGCCAAGCGCCACTGCTTCTTCGTAGTATGTAGTGTGTGCGTGGCTTGCAGGACTAGCTCTGTTTCCTCAACATTGTTTGGCTGAGGGTTTCGCCCAGGTGAGCATCGACGCATTCACCCCAAACATTTACTCACACTACTGCTGCTCTCGATCTCCTCATGCTTTCGTCATCCCCGCCCACCGAAGCCAATTCAAAGGAGCGTTCTATCATGAAACTGCTAACTTTTACTCATTGACCTCCTCTTCCTCGTGGTCCTGTCCACCCAAAGCTCGATCCGCATTATACACACGCCCAGTTCAGACAAGGAGCTTGTCACTATCGCGCTCATTTCACCAACTATATTGAAGACTCGAGCGGTCCCCCAGTGTACTTCAAGTACGCAACAAACACAGGTGCCTGATTATCACGAAACATATGTATACATCAAACTAATCACTATCCGATGTATCTGAACCATCTCCAATCTCTTCGTTGCCACCAGGTATTAACCACCGGTCAATGATAAAGGTTTCGCCTCGTGTCTGTACCCGGCCAACAACTGCCTTGATGTTTCGCACATCTGTAACTACTGGTGCGACAAACTCTTTGTATCCAACTAGGGATATTGATGCATCTGTTCCATCAGTGTTGCATGGTGTTATAAGTGCGAGGATGAGCGTTGTATTGCGTAGGAATCTGTAAATTTTGTGTTCGCCAATCTCACAAATTAAAATCTTGTCCAGCTGGCCATAACCGATCACATCGACAGGTCGTGATTCTCCCGCGTCAGAATATGAGATTTCAAACTACAACACGTCAGCTGTGGCCACATGAGGTGAAAATACTCACTCGCACAAATGAGTTGTCACGATACTTTGCATTGCTCATACCCCTCAGAGCATATCTGGTCCTGATTGAATCACCACCGCCAATTATCCTCATTTTCCCCCACAGAGGCATCACAGAAGGCAAGTGCAGTGCAAGATCGTTGCGCCGCCCTCCAAGAACCTGGAAGAGATACACTCCGATTCGTTTGCGGGTATCCTCATCGGGTGTATAGCTGGAACGACATGGTGTTCGCAAAACAATTTCGGGATCTGGTCCGTAAGTCTGCCATTTAGCATTGTATTACACTCACGACTTCCACTACTCACAGTTTTCGAATGATCGTTCATTCTCCAGCTCTTGTTGTCCGCGGCGGGGATTGAGGTCTTTGAGCTCATCTTGGAGGTCAAACTTAACACTGAGTTGGCTGAGGTATGCGGTGTACAAAACGACACGGGAAAGGCCACTCCATGGGTGCCGTCTGGAATGGAGACCAGTCCTGAGGTGCAGGCAATACCGTTCAACATAGAATGTCCAGTGGACCCAAGCAGGTCCACACATGCGCAGGTCTTTTGCGACATGCAGGCATCCATGAATCGGGAGTGTGCAAACTGCTAACCTATCTTCCTTGAATTGATAGTAATAGCTGTTGGTGTCAAGTGAGCTTATTTCGCATGAAAATTGATTTAATTACCGCTCGAACTCTCTGACCCACTCTGCGAACCCTTTTTCAAGATCATCGATCTCCTGTGTGGTGATTTTGAGCTTGACAGATGTCTTCATCAATGAGATAAGTTTGCACATGTGGGTGTAGTATTTGACCCGTGGAAAGCGATTTCGGAGCACGATGGGTGCAATGTGCATGAACCAAAAACTCCAACCTTCGGCTGTAAAGGTCGATTTATCAACAGCAATATTGCCTAGGACTCGCACAAAAGCAGCAGGTATCTGCTTCACTGCTGCTGCTGTTTCAGCGCCGATTTCTTCCCAGACATGTGGCGCGAGTTCATAATCCTCACTGCCAACATCCAACATCTTGTAACGCCCCGTCCAGAGGTCAACGAGCTGCGGGATAATGTTTTCGAGGAACAGGTGCATCCATTCCCAAGGTGCGCAATTGGCATAATCGATTGAATTGACACGACGAAGTGACGGCTCGCCCTTTATTCCATGTTCTTTCGCAAGGCACTCTCTCTGACGCTTTGTTACTGTAGCATCCAACTCCTCGAGGACATTAACAAATCCCTCGTGTGTGCGTAAAGGGAGATCAAGGGGATTATATGATTTTTGGGTTTGATTTTCTCGTCGAGGTGTCTTGAGAGGAGTGTAGTAGTTAGTACCTCGAGCACTGATCTTGCGAACACCCTTCATTTCGCAAGACCTGCATGGAAAGTAGCCGTTATGTCCTTTAATATTCGAAAGTTTCTCGATGGCAATGATATCCCCGTTCTTGAAGATGTTATAGGCGTGGAGATAAAATTGAGTTTTATCGGATGTGTCGAAGGTTTGAATACCATCAGCAAGTTCAGCAAGCTCGTTATCGAGAGGGCAGATAAATGATGCAAGATCTTTGGGCTGATGAGGGCCAGGGATGACACCGACACACAGAACGTTCTCAAGGTGTGTTCGGACAAGAGGAGGAAGGTTGAGATTCATTAGGAGGAGTGGTGTCGCAGATGGGCCACTCCGACGACGATTAAAAAGTAGAAAACCATCTACTGATAGCGAGAATGCTATGTCGTGCTTTCCAGAGAAGAATCTGTGATGCCGTCTGACACCATCAACCATAACATTGGTCTGACATAGCGTGTGGTACCACTCCGAGTCAAAGACATCTTGAATGGTGCCAGGTTCTCCGACATAGTTCTTCCGATACGAAAGCAGTCGTATCATATCCGGACTCTGGAAAAATGCCTGAAGACGGGGAATGAGTGGGAGATACGAAAAATGTCGCCGTGCACGTCCACCAGTATCATAGCGTGATTCATTGCAAAAAGGACATTGGATATGATGAGAATAGTCGTCGGTATATGCAATACATGAGTTAATACAACAATCGTAGTTGATCGGTTGAATGCCGGACAGTGTGGCAAGGCGACACAGAATGACCCATTCAGAGTCTATCGTCATTTTGTGCCGAAAGGACTGCCGCATGCGATCAAATACACGACGAGGAATGTGCCCGACTAGCTTCAGCTGGAATGCACGGATGTTATCACGATCCTCGTCAGTGAGTATATCATTACCTAGTAGGTTACATTAGAATTAGCACTCGTATTTGAACATAAATACATACGGAGCTCGTGCATCTCTTTGGCCTTCGTCAGACCTTGCCAATCCTCTAGATCAAGAATCATGGTGTCGAGAGTCATGATGGCATGGTGGTCCACGTCGTCCTCATCGAAATTGTACAAATCATGAGCGTCCGATGGATCGCTTCTTGGACCTGAACCAAGTGGCACCCCGACTAGGACCCCGAAAAATCCCAGTCAACATCGCGCCTAACAGCGCCTAGAAACGCCAATAGGCGTTCGCTCAGCCCCATACAACCCAAACTAACTCTATAACTCTATATGCAACCCCACAGGTTCCTAATAGCCAACAATATGGCATTAACAGGCTGGACGAGCCCAACATCAACAGTCACCGGCAATCACAGACTCAGGAAAACAACAGCAAACAAACCTCTTCTCGCATCTAGCAAATCCATAGAAGAACACATCGAAGGTACAGGTATCAGAACAGACATCACTAACACCACCACAGCCAGAAAACTGCTCGCAACTCACGGCCTAGTTTTTCCCACGGCAGGAACAGCAGTGAAGGAAATAGCAAAAGCCCTTTTCGAGTTCAGTATCTCAGCGGGGTTAGGAACGACACACGCAGAAATACTAAGGGCCATTGCAGTCCTTCTGCAAGACGCCGAAAGCTCCCTAGACATGAACAACATAATCAACAGAGTAGAGAACCTGATTGGAGGCCCACTAACGATTATGGTCGAGAAGGCAGAAGCCACGGAGAAACACAAGAAAGCGTTAGAAGCTGTGGCTCAAGAGGTGCGTCAAAACTTAACTGAATCAGCAGCGGGAATAGACAAAGCCATGAAAACGGCTGCACAAACACTAACCCAAGAAAGTGAGAGACAAGGAGGGTCTGAAGGACCACGATCATACGCAGCTGTTACGAAGTCGGCGATCCCCGCCACACTAACAAAGGCTTTATCCCGTAGTGAAGGTCAATCGAAGCAAATCTTAATCGATAGAAGATCCCTCCTAATGCCAAGGGACGCAACAGAGAACCTCACAGAAGCCCAACTGGTTTCAAAGGCCGCTCTAGCCCTAGAAATGATGGTAAAAGACAACATAATGATCCCAAATGACTTATCTTTCATTTCAGCACGCAAACTCCCCCACGGAGGAATACTATATGAACTAAACTCCAAGAACTCCGCAGAGTGGTTCAACACGCCATCCAACCGCAGCAACTTTTTAGAGAGGTTTGGAACTAATGTAGCCATCAAGGACAGATCATTCCACGTACTAATGGAGAACATCCCGATTACCTTTGTCTCAGACTCGACAGCCGCCATAGCGGACATTGAAAAGAAAGCCGGCCTCACCCTAAAAAGTATAATCAAGGCAAGGTACATTAAACCAATTGCAAGACGCTCACCAAACCAGAGAACGGCACACGTAATACTGACATTCAAAACCAGAGAAAGCGCCAACCAAGCAATCAAGTTCGGCCTCCCGATAGCAAGCAAAAAGGTATACGGCCGCAAACTCCTCCCAGAACCCTCAAGATGCCTCAAGTGCCACTCGTTCGACGGCAACCACATGGCAACCGACTGCCCAAAAGAACACGACATCTGTGGAACATGCGGGGAACAACACCGCACAGCGCTATGCAAAGTCGAAAACCCTAACGAATTCCACTGTGCCAACTGTGACACAAAAGGCCACGCGTCATGGAGCAGAGACTGCCCGACCTTCCTCGGCAAATGGGAAGCTTACAAGAAGCGAAACAAAGAGACTCAATACAGACTATATCTCACGGACGACCCCCTGACATGGGAGAAAACGGAAGAACATCTCGAAGACCGAAATGAAACTCAAGCTAGAACAGAAGGTAACAACAACTCAAACGACTCTACTAACCACCGTTTCCTGCCCCCCAGATTCAACAGAACAACGGACCCAAGACCACCAGAAAGAAGACCTCAACAACCAAACCGCCCAAGATACCCCAACAACATCCCGATAGGAGGACAATCGCGCTTAACGGACGTCTGGGACCACCAAAGACTGACCCAAGGACCTGCATACCAAAGAAGACAGGACGACATACCATACAGGGACGCAGCTCTAACAAACATCGACTACAACCTGGGTAGCAACGACGCAAGCGGTTGGAACTAAGGATGGACACCAACCAAACCCAACCAAGAACGGACTTCAAGATATGGCAACAGAACCTCCGCAAGTCTTCAAACGCATGGGAACACTTCCTAAAGAACTTAAACCCCGACATCTACGACCTGGCCAGCATCCAGGAACCTTTCCTAAATCCTGTTAACCTCGCTAACACTTCTAACCTTAGGAAATACTGGGACGTCATCTACCCAACGAACCACAACAAGAACCAAGATCGATTGCAAGTAATCATGTTAATCAACAAAAAAAGAACAAATGGCAAGCAATCTCAATCCAATCCCCAAATGTCATGGTGATAGAAATCTTGGGTAACTTCGGCAAAGTACGTATATATAACATCTATAATCCCTGTGACCACGACAACATGTTGCACTTCCTGGGAAGACACATGCAAACGGAAAGTAACCTACGTCGCGCAGCTTCCCAAAATCTCGCTCAAGGCGAGCAGGGAGTAAATACTGAAAATATCATTTGGCTAGGCGACTTTAACCGCCACCACCCACTCTGGGAATTAACTACCAACAACCACCTGTTTACTGCGGCGAATTTAGACGCTGCAGGTGTACTAATCAACCTGTTAGCCATGTACAACTTAGTACAAACGTTACCCCCCGGGATAGCCACCCTAGAGGCATCCTCGACCAAGAATCTAACCCGTCCAGACAATGTATTTTGCTCCCCGCAGCTACAGCAAGCATTCACGTCGTGTAACGTCGAGTATCAACTCAGACCGGCCGTAATGGATCATTTCCCTATCATTAGCGTCCTAGAATTATGCCCTGACCGAATTGACAGCACTCCACGTCCCAACTTTAAAGAAGCCGATTGGGACTTAGTCAACGAAGCCCTTGCAAAGCAGCTCAACCTTATCCCGCCCCCAACAGAAATAACGACAAGAGAACAGTTCGACGAGGCGTTCACCAACCTCACCAACACCATCGCCAGGACCATGGAAGAACAGGTACCCAAATCAAAATCATCGCCTTACGCCAAGCGATGGTGGTCCAAGGAGCTAGATAAAGAACGCAAGGGAGTACATAAACTAGGTCACAAGTCACGAGCTAAGTTATCATGCAGGAATGACCCCATACACGAAGAGTACAGGAAAGCAAGGAACACCTTCTCGGAGAACATCAAGAAGGCGAAGGAATCACACTGGATGACGTGGCTGGAAACGATGTCCCCATCTGGAGTATGGAACTTCCACAACTACGCAGCAAGTAACCCAGAAGATCAAATGCACACAAGGATAGCCACGCTCAAGGACCCAGGAGACAACAGACCCAACGGAACGCAAGACAACACCAGGAAAAGCGAACTGCTCTACGAGACCTTCTTCAGAGCCCCCCCAGAGAACGACCATGTTGACCCTAACTATGAATATCCCCCTCCCATATGCGAATTCACACTAATTACGAACCAACAGATAGCCAGAGCGATCGCTAAACTCTCTCCCCACAAGGCACCGGGACCCAATGGTATAAGTAACAGTTTCTTCACTCACTGCGCAGAACTACTAATCCCGTTCATGGGCCCGATATTTCGAGCCACCTTCACGCTAGAGATCTACCCGGACCAGTGGAAAAAGTCATCAACTATAGTCCTTCGCAAGCCCTGCAAACCAGACTATAGCCTACCAAAAGCGTACAGGCCCATAACACTACTTGATACGATGGCGAAAATCCTTTCTTCCTGCGTCTCAGATGACCTAATCTACATAGCTGAACAGCACGACTTATTAGCTTCAACCCATTTCGGAGGCAGACCAGGCCGCTCGACCACAGACTCCCTGCACTTACTAACGAAATTTATTACAGACGCCTGGGCATCAAAGGAGGGATGTGTATCAATGTTATTCCTGGATGTCAAAGCAGCATTCCCAAGCATTGTCATCAAGAAACTCTTACACAATCTCAAAAAGGTAGGGATCCCGCAAGAGTACATCGGCTGGTATGAAAGGAGACTCAACGGCAGATCAACAACTCTAATTTTCAATGACTTCAACTCAAACCCGTTCAATGTAGAAGGAGGAGTAGACCAGGGCTGCCCGCTATCCCCGCTTGCTTTCATCTTTTACAATACTGATTTACTCAAAGTTGCAGATCCAAGACCACGAAAAGGCGAGCTAAGCCTCAGATTCATCGATGACATAGCACTTGTGGCCAGAGGAGAAACGTATGAGGACTCCCACGCTAAGCTAGTCAGAATGATGGAAAAGAGAGACGGAGCGCTGAATTGGAGCGAAGAACATCATGCGGAATTCGAATTAGACAAAACGGCTCTAGTATGCCTATCGAAAGCCCGCACACCCAGCAACACCGACCCAAGAAAGACTGTCCCAATCCCCAAGTCACCAATAACAATCCGCAATCACACGATTCAACCGTCAAAATCGCACAAATTCCTCAGGGTTATCATGGACGAGAATCTGAATTTCAAAGAACATGCTGCACACGCCCTAGCGAAAGGAACCAAGTATGCACTGGCGTGCAACAGGATGATCCGCCCAACAAAAGGAATTAAGAGCCGTCTCATGAAAAGACTATACGAAGGAGTAATCTTACCCAAAATGATGTACGCAGCTGACGTTTGGTGCACAGGACTGATAGCAAAGGGAAAGGGAACAAGACTCAACGGGCGAGGAGCAAGGGGCTTCACAGCCCAGATGACAAGAGTTCAAAGGATGGCGGCCCTGTTGATAATGGGCGGGATGAGATCCACCGCAACTGATACCCTAGACACGCATGCTAATATCCTCCCTCTCCAACAGACGCTAAGGAAAATCTGCTTCAAAGCAGCGTTAAGGATGTCCACACTGCCAGCCACACACCCACTAGCCAAGGACATCAAATCAGCGCACGACTACGGCCTCGCAAGAGGCTTCGGAAGACCAAAGCGCCATCCATCACCATTACACAAGCTGACGTACGAATTCAGACTGGACCCGGAAAAGATGGAAAAGATCTTACCTACAAGACATTACCCAAAGTGGGAGGCAGATGTCGAAACGAAGATAGCGGGGAAAAAGCAGGAAGCGGCAGTAGAAGACGAAACCGCATCAGAGGAACTCCGAGTCTACTCGGACGGATCAGCAATAGACGGTGGGGTAGGAGCAGCTGCAGTACTCATGAGAGGAGAAGAGGTAGTGGATGAGCTCAGCTTCCATCTGGGGAAGGACGACGAACACACGGTGTACGAGGGAGAGATGGTGGGAATGATACTAGCGGTCCAGTTGCTGAGGAGAGCAGGAGGAGGACAAATGATGGCACTGGGAGTGGACAACCAAGCGGCAATTAGAGCAACGAAAGTGTTCAGCTCACAACCAGGTCATTACCTCATGGACGCCTTCCATGACGACCTCCGAACGCTCATTCCCGACAACGATGGAAGGAAGCTGGTGGTAAGATGGGCACCAGGCCACATAGGCATAGCCGGGAACGAAGCAGCTGACGAAAGAGCAAAGAGAGCAGCGAGGGGAACAGCATCAACGGGAGCGAACCTCCCAATCTCTCTCAGAATGGCCACAGCAAACCCCAAAACCCTACCCATCAGCAAATCGTCAACGCTACAGGTGTTCAATACCAAAATCAAGAAGGAAGCAGCACAAATCATGATTGAATCCCCCCGATACACAACCCTCCAAACGATAGACCCATCCATCCCATCGAAACACTTCGCTAATATCATCGAACGAATCCCTCGCCGACAAAGCTCCCTCTTGTTCCAATTGAGATCAGGTCACGCACCTCTCAACAAGCACCTACATCGAATAGCAAAGTCAGCAATGTCAAGGTGCTCTCAATGCGAGGAAAGCAATGAATCAGTACACCACTTCCTACTCTCATGCCCAGCCTACACGAGACAACGCAACATCCTTCGCACAGAACTAGGCACGAAAGCGCACCATCTGAAACACATCCTCAATGAACCTGACTGCTTGAAGGCCCTGTTCAAGTATATCGCGACCATGAGAAGACTCGAGACAGTGTTCGGCGACGTCAAACTGCCAGAAGATAAGAACAAGCAAAGAACATAGACGAAGAAGACCGAAGACGACAAAAACCATTGTAACCATTAATCCTATCACCTTCAGCTGGTGTCACCGTCCCCGCTCCGGCCAGGACCACTGAACAAGACCCACCAAATGAAACAAGAAATAACGCACATACAGTATATACAGCATGTTTTGTCTAACATGGGGCATCGCCCCAGCGGACAATAAACAATGATTAAAAAAAAAAAAAAAAATTAGCGTCCGATGTGGTAGACTCGTCAGAAGAGGTACCATCTAAACTAGACGCAGATGACTCATTAGCGTGATGGGAGGAGTGTGATGCTGCATCCTGGATGATTGTGGAAGAATGCGAGGAGTCGTCCTCAGCCTCCGAGTCTGAGCTACCGAAATCAGAGCATAGTGCTTCATTGGGGTGTGCAGAGGCGTAGTGTTGGTCCCTGCGAGAGCGAGACAAGAATTTATAGCAAGAAGGTGCATGGCGACAGTGTTTTTTTGCCTCTGGAGGCATGTTGTCCGTGGATGGTTTGCTACTGGTAGTAATCACGATAAATCATTTGGTGAAAATGATGCGGAATAAATGAATAGTACTCACCAAGAGGTCACTGAAATTCAGTAAGAGGACGGTATGATATGTCGTATCTAGAGTACCAGTCACTGTGGAAATGAGAAAATAGTCAGGCCGGATTAGTGTAGGGACCAGGATATAAACAGATGTCATATATCATGTGAATCCCGAAGTGTTGAACTAGAGATCCGACCGCAGGATCAGATCTGACCAATGCGTCATTGACAAGTTCAATGCAGGTTTCTCTAGCCTTATCTCAAATACCACCGTGCACAGAAGGAGTCCTCACAACATTCGATAATGCAAGAACGAAGCTAGCAGCAATCTCCTCCTCACCGGATCTTGATCACCGCTTTGACTATGACTGCCGTTTTCTCAAAGTCGAAATGGGTGTCAACTCTGACAGCTGACCTGAAGTGGCTTCAGGGCACTTGTTGAACAAATACCTCATGACGACGAGGTCAATGCCAGCTTAGCAGATCATCAGTTGCTGGCTCAGAAGCAAAGCATCGAGTTTACTCACCATCGCCCAGAAATTCCAATCGCTGGTAAGATGATCCAGCAGTAGTTGCAAAGGAAGGGTGAGTTGCGGCTTCAATTAGAAGATCGCCCCGGTGAAACTCGTATCCAAGACTGGCTTGAAGGTCATCAAAAAGAGGTGGCGCCGGCGATGGTTCTGGCGGACAAGAGTATAGCGCAGGGGCAACTCAATTAATGCTAGGCAGATGAGGGTGAGCGTATTGCCCATCGCTGGAAGGAAAGAGGAAGACGAGGACGAGGACGAACGGGATGAAGACGAGGACCAAGATGAGGACCAAGTTGAACTTGAAGACCGCGAGGATGAGGACGAGGATGAGGATGAGGACGAGGACGAGGACGAGGACTGAGGACGAGGACGAGGACGAGGACGAGGACCATGAAGACAAGGATGAGAACATGGACGAGGACGAAACCGAGGATGAAGACCATGAGGACGAGGACGAGGATGAGGACGAGAACCAGAACCAGAACCGGGACGAAGGCCAGGACGAGGACGAGAACGAGAACCAGGACGAGGACCAGGACGAGAACGAGAACCAGGATGAGGACGAGAACCAGGACGAGGACAAGGATGGGGACGACACCCTGACTAACGATGGCGCCAATGAGGAAGACAACGACCTGGAATTCGAAGGCCATAAGCAGTTGGAAATTGGCCCAGCTGACAAGCACGTTCCTCCCCACCTACTCAACCTCTCAAAAAAGCGAAAGACAGCTGTTTCATCGGACAAAGAAGCTGAACCTATTCAACCCCCACCTTTGAAGAAGCAGGCCACTGTACCTACTGCTGACGAGGACATCCCAACCGTCTGTCCGAGTGATGGGTGCAACGATATCGTGCCCTTACATCCTTCGGGAATGGTCCTTGCAAAATACAAAGCATATTGACGCTGCTTGCAGATGCCAGGTGGCGAATTCACGCGCCAGACACTCAAGCTCGAGATGGAGCTCTGTGCTGCCATCCAGAGCAACCTGCAGCGCGAAAGGCACATTCAAAGTTCTTACAATAACAGATGGCTATCCCAGATCAATTACTTCGCCGTATATCACTCTGCTTTGAAGCTCGAACCTGATCTCCGCTGACTGATCTTTGATAAAGCCGCAAAGGAGGATTGCTTTGTTTACAAGACTCTTCTTACCGATCTACTTGAACAGGGCTATGGAGTCGAGCTCGACAAAAAATTAGCTTTTCTTGCACGCCTGAAGATATTTGATGTTGGACGCCCAATTTTCAACAAGGCACGGCCTGGATAGTGAGTACTGATGCACTCTTATGGCATTATGCTAATGATCCATAGCTATGGTCCGAAAGGCAGCGCAGTCCTTCGCGCGACTATCAGCAGGCTATTTGACCCGCGGAACGGAATTCCTACTGATGCCTTTGCCCCACTCTCCTATGAACAGTACACGTATTTTGTTCTTATTCCGTACATGGCCAGCCGACTCATCGCCGACGATCGGGGGTTTACTGACGATCAGCAGTGCACGCTTCAGCAGGCATTCGAAATCATGGTGGCCAGTGCCAGTGCCGATGCCGGTGATGCACTCCAGGGCATCGACGAGGAAGGGAAAGATGAGCAGTTTGATGATGTTCTCATGAAGATCATGTTGAATCAGGTAACCGAGTTAGACTATGTCACGGTGCCAGTGGCCCAGGTGTCGCAGCCAACAGCCGTGGCCCCTCAGCAGCAGAAAGGACGAAAAAAGGTCTGTTTGATGATCTTCTTACTTCAGCGAGTTCTCACTCTGTACTAGGCAAACAGGAAGGGGACAGTCATAGCTGATTCTGCCCGCCGGCGAAGTACCCGCCTGGTAAGTCGATGTGCATTACATAGTTGGTCCGGGACTTACTTTTCAACACCATGATTAGGCTTCGTCCCATCGTTAACAGAATTTGTGGCCCAACTGCTCCCGCTCCGCTGTGCTTGTGCTCTCGAACCTTTCCGGCGTCCTTGTTACTATGCTAGTATTAACATTAACTAATGTAATTCAGTGCTTTGTTCCATTACCTTGCTATGAATGTCAGAACGTAATTTCAGCACAAATTCAGCGCATTTTCAGAGTACAGTTTCAGAGTATTGTTTCAGAGTATCATTTCAGAGTATGGATTCAGAGTATAGATTCAGAGTATAGATTCAGAGTATAGATTCAGACCATCATTTCAGAGTCTGCTTTCAGAGTAAAATTTCACCGCAACTTCAGCTGAAAATTCAGAGTAAAAAACAGCAATATCAGCACCCTCGATTTCAGTACCTAATGCTCTGAGTTTCAGACTATTATCAGATGATTTCGTCCAGTGAATTTCATTGGAACTACTATCTACAGTATAGATTAGTACAATCCCCGACTTCCCACGGAGTGGAAGGAGGGTTTTGTTGGATCCAAATCCCCAGGCACCTATACCGCGATGCATGGGAACCCTTTCAAAAAAACTGTACAGTTGATTGATCGAGGTCTATCGTCTTTATAGCTAAACTTGAGTGTATGTCTTTTCGGTTTCTTTCTGTGTGCTTGTTTTATTGACAATATTCAGAATGTCTGTGTTTCTCTCGAAACACCCCAGTACGGCGCCTTGAGTACTTGATGCTAAAGATTGCCCACCTCACAACAATCTCCATGATATACAATCATATCCTCTGTTTTACTATGCTTTATACTACAATATCATAAACCTATATATGCAACTGCTGAAAATTCTTGCTGTTGGTTACAGTTATCGCTTGCCTCCCATTCTAACAGCCTATGTCTCAAATGTGGTCCCCTCTATCGATCTGTCACACTGGCTGTAGTTTTTGATGGAGTATGTCTGTCTGTTCATCTGGATGACATTTCGATGACTTTCACTCGCGCGCATTTTGAGTCTGCTGCATATGTGTGCTGTAGTTAGTGTTGTTGGCAGAACTCGGGAGTTTTGCCAACCGGTTTGGCAAAACCGGTTTTGCCGGTTTTTGGCAGAACTCACGCGAAAGGGGGGTGGCAGAACCTGGCAGAACTCCAGGGTATCCGAGACTCGCGGAGATGTAATTTAGATCTATGATAACAAAATCTGAATCCAAGAGAACATGAAAACCGACGTCCTTAAAGTAAGATGGTGGAAACTGGAGGGGCCCCCTCACATCACTGCCAGTGATTGACGAAAATTTCGAGCGTCTGGAACGAGTTGACAACTACTCGAATCACTACTACTGGAAATGCAAACATTGCAGTGACACTGATAACTCATCAGGTGCTTGAATCCAGGTTAACTCATCAGGCCTCAGGTGAGGTGTAATCTCCCAGTTGACACATTTGAAACACTCGGCAAATTTCGTGCAAACCTTCGACACCGCAGCGCTGTGAAAGCCGTGGAGGCTGGGAAGCCCACCTGCCGTCGACATGCTCACTATGCGCACTCATGAAGAGGTTGGCATTGCTGTCGAGACTGCATGTACAGGATCTTGAAGCATCCTTTGCGTGGGCACCTCCACTCTCGACCGAACCTCGCGATGCAGATGACTTGCTTGCTGGTCCAGAGAGTATCTCACCTGATGATATTGCTGCTGAATTTGCAGCTCTCGAGGAGTTGAAAAAGACTGAAGAAGTTCACAACGTTAACGAAGTTGAAGTGCTCGAGGGAAATGCTGTTGATTTTGACGAGTTGGATCGGGTTGAACAAGGAATAATATCACAGGTAATTCTAGATGAGGTTGAGGTGGTTAATTACAATGGTGATGGTGGCGGATGGGACGAGGTAAAATATTGATGTCATCGTTAGGAATGTCGTATACATAGTCTACATAGCGCCTAGAGTTTTGCCACCCTGGCAAAACAACCGGTTTTGCCAGTTTTGCCGGTTATAACCGGCAGAACTAAATCCAAATAGTTCTGCCCCCCACACTAGCTGTAGTGTATTCAAACGCTTCAAGAATTATCAAGAAGCTGTTCAACAAGGCTCTCCCCTCCCAAGTTGCCAACTGCTGCCTCGTGCATTATGTCCAGACTAAAAGATGATTGATCATCCTCGATGGTTTCCCTACACTGATGCTTGCTGTGCAGAAAATCTGTCTGCTTTGTCCGCGCCTGTTCTGCGTGGTGTTGCACGGCGTATTGGTACGAAAGGATCTGACGCGCGAAATAAAGAACGCCGTGTCGATGCAATTTTATCTCATTTCGCTTCTCGACGCACAGAGCTCGCAAGCATGTCCTCTTCAAGATTCTCTTGACCGCATCAGTCCCACCTGCTTGCACAAGATCACGGGGCACTTTACTTGCTGCTGAGTTTCAGAACTTGTACGGTCTCAATTTGGCAACTGCTGTAGTACGTACTCCTCCTATCATCAGCGCACCTCCTGCTCTCAATCCAGCAGCTGTGCAAGTCTCTAAGCCATGTCTTTACAGTGGATTTCAGCATCTGTTGATGATATTCCTCGCCGTTTAGAGAAGCTGAAACGCACTGACATCTAGACATGTATGCCTCGATTAGCGCCACGCTATCGCACACTCTACAACAAGCTCTCTGATCGAAAAACGTGTGATGCACTCGCTAATCATGCCCGGCAACGCGCACTACACCTATTTTGTGCTAGAGCAAGTGTTTCGGGTGACGTTTATCTCGCATATTTTCCGTTCTTGAGCTGTTATTTACTCTCAGATAAGGCTGTTGGAGTGGGCTGTGCTCTATGAGTGCGCTGGACTCTACAACGAAGTGATGCTGTGCTACTGCTCCCGAGACTCTATCTAACCCTCTAGCTGCGCTCCAAACACCGCCAAACACCTCTGCGACCTGACCTCCTCCCTAGGGGTCCCCTACTCCACTGTTTTCTGTCAGATTCTTGTTCATGAGTTTGGGGTGCTCGTTACTGGACGTTTGTCACAGGAAATTGTCTCGCGCTCTGTCAAGGACATGTCAGTCCGTCTAGAATGCAAACAGAATGCGCTGGCAGAAATGAGAGATTTCGTACAGATCGAGAGCGGGAATGACTGATGCCTGTTTCAAAAGCAGTCATTTCGGTGTATGCAGTTGCTGCCATGTGCAGCCTACACGAAGAAAGCTCTCCATTATCCCAAAGGCAAAAAGAAGACTACTAACGAGCTCGGAGGTCAATCACTTGCTAAGAACTCAAAGTTATCGACAGAGAGCCATGACATCTTTTACATTGAGCTGGAGGCTGATGATGATTAGCCTGACTCGAGTCACTCGAATACTATTGTCAAATTTCAAGTAGTGCTGCATCTGATCTGCGAAACGCCTGATTGTTATATCGATAGACTGTTGTGGCGTTCTTGGAACGTTCACACGAGATGGAAGTCGACTTTTGGTAGACTTAGGAATCGAGCAGGGGAAACTGGCCGAACTAAGCGTTTATTTTGGGGGGGAAAAGGATCAACTACTGTACTAGTAGATAAATGGCGGTTTAAATACTGTACGGTAAGGAACACTAAAGAATATGAGAGAAGGAAAAATGACAAGATGCTGTCTTGGTCAGATGATCGTAACGAAGGCTTTTACTAACGCTACAACTGTTTACTACCAATCTGTCGTCATTTCCTGATGTTGAAGTCGGGGACTGGCGCTTCCCAGCGCCGCTACGATATTAGCAGTGAAGGATCGTTTGCTCAGCGCTCAGTGCTCACTTGACACTGAGTGGAAGAAGTCGTGAGAAAGCAAGTACATTTCCAGTTGGTCGCCTATGTAACTTCACTCAGATTGATATCGATCACACCATCATATATTTCGCGATGAGCGAACATAATATCGTATACCAGTCTCGCACGAGGGATCCAGACTCTCCAGAAGCTACGTCCCGCGAAGCAATTGCTGGTGAAAGCTCGGTACGTGCTAATCAAGCAAGCATCTGAATCGACAAGACTCGCTCATGAAATTCGTTGCACTTGAAATGCCGACTCTGACGCTTCGTTCATCCAGATTCAACGTCGTGGCAACATCCGTCGTTTTCTGGGGAAGTTCCAGAATGGTGTAACTAAACAAATTTCTGTGAGTCGATGAGAATACCGAGTTATACCAATATCAGGCTGAGGTTGTACAAAAGCGCTTAAAGGATTCTCGCAGTCCTGACGCCAACCATGCAGGTGCTCAGAATATCGAGGTTGGTGCTCGAACTCGCCATCTATAATCACTAAAGTCTCGTGGTCACACATGTTCAGGATACCCCTCACGGTGTAGAACAAGGTGCTGGTCCGCGATTGGATCCGGGTGCTCGTAACACTCCAGAACATATGGCTGCACCTTCAGGACCTCCAATAACAGTGGAGCCCGCTCCACGTGCGCATCCGGATCTTGGTACTGCAGAAGATTTCCCGGCCGTATATGGCCAAGCTATCAGGTCATTCGACAGTGCTGTGGAGAGGTTTGCGGATGTATGTGCCCTTTCTCTCATTCGAGGCTGAACTAATTCCGTTCCATAGGCACATCCATCTGCAAAGATAGCACTGGGCATGTTGTCTGCTGCATCAAATGTTTGTTTGTTTTGCTCTGATTCTGATCTCCTGCTCAACATAATTTGTACAGATTATTCTCGCTCCAAGGGATCGTGATGAAGCGGTATATCCTCTGCTCGACAAGTTGGTTCAAGTTTACAGCTTCATGACACAAGACAACATGCTTCGCCAGATTTCGTCGATGCATGGTATCATTGAACAGATCTCCCAGCAGACCCTTGAATGTGCACAATTCATCAGAGATTATTCGGAGACAAAGAGCTTTTGTAAGTATCCAGCAAGCAATTGAGCTTTGCACACTCTCAATATTCTGCCGTTGTCATAGGGAATAGACTCGGAAAGAACGTTGCCTCGGAAACAGATAATACCATCCAACGGTATAATGATGCGTTGGATGCGCTCATGCAAAACTTCAGGGACCGGGTCACTCGTGACACAGCTGTCCACGTCCACCGTACAGGTCAGAATTGGGAAGTGCTTCTCACTTAACGGCCATTAATACCTCTTCCAGGTGAAATACTGGACCTCAGTGGTATGGCTTACGCCGCAGGTGCGGGACAAGATTCCAGGAAACAATGTCTACCAGGGACCCGCACGGAAATTCTCTCCCAGATCACGGAATGGATTCAAAGCAGTCCATATGATACTCCGCGCGTCCTATGGTTATCTGGTTCTGCTGGGACGGGTAAATCAGCCATCGCCCACACCATTGCTCGCTGGTTGAACGATCATGGGGAACTTGGTTCATGTTTCTGCTTCGACCGGCATAGATGTGCAGACCGTTTCCATGAAAAGATTTTCTCCACCATCGCGCGTGACATAGCTGACCTTGATCCGGGGATGAGACGAGCATTGTCGGATGCAGTCAGGAATGCCAGTGCACTCAAACATACGCGGGATATCATTCAGCAGTGGCAGAAGCTTCTTGTAGAACCGCTGTGGAAGCTCTCTGGACCAAATGTGGCACCAGTTGTGATCGTGATCGACGCATTGGATGAGAGCGGTGGAGTCGAGACACGACGCGACCTTCTTCGCATTCTTGCTGGTAAACTTCGAAACCCGAATGTTGACCCGATCATGGCACTCCCAAACAATGTCCGCTTTATCGTTACCTCTCGTCCGCTTCGCGACATCGACGCTGAATTTGATGGTGCTTCCCATATCTTACGGATATCCATGGATGATATACCACCAGAGATCGCTAGGCGCGACATTCACGTTTACGTATCGGTGGAGCTGGAGGGACTGTCGGACTTCAGGGACACGGAGTTTGGAATCCTCGCTGAGCTAGCTGATGGACTTTTCGAATGGGCGCGTCTTGCATGCGCTTCCATCAGAGCAACCCCTTTTGGCCTATCTCCAAGGGATTCCTTCAATGCTGCGGTTTCACGCCATCCTCCCAAGGCGTATTTGTTGTCTAACATGTATCACGTCATTCTGGCAGATATCATGCGAACGGATACAAATACACACGCGGAGTTTCAGCAAATGCAGCTAGCCAGGTTTCGTTCTGTGATGGGACAGATCCTCGGCGCAGCTGAACCTCTCCCTATAAATTCCATGAATGCCATGCGCCGCCATTTTCCAGATGAAGTTGACCATTACGATGTGGACGTTGTAGTAACACTCATGGGATCCCTCCTTAGTGGCACCACCAACTCATATACCCCCATCCGACCCTTTCACGCATCCTTGCGCGAATTCCTCACAAACCAAAAATTTAGTGGAGATTTTTTCGTCGACATACCAAAGGCACAACGGGACCTTTCTTTTGCGTCACTCCGAGTGATGGAACATGGGCTTCGCTTTAACATCTGTGACTTGAGGTCTTCATATCTCGCCAATTGTGAAGACTCTGACCTGCAAGAACGAGTTGAAAGATGCATTCCCTCACATCTATCATATTCATGTCGATTTTGGGCTGCGCATGTACGAACAACAGAGTTTAACCTGGAGCTCGCGGAGGAGGTGAAACGGTTCCTCCATCACGAGAGCCTACTGTTTTGGCTCGAAGCCGTTGGCCTTATCAAAGCAGTTAGTTCTGCGATTCCCGCCTTGTCGCTCATCATCCAGTGGGTGGAGGTAAGCACATGGTTACCGTGCATATATGACACACTCAATGCAACCACAGCGTCATTCCGGATGTGAAGATATCTCGTCTACTGCAATAGACGTGCAGAGATTCATTCACACATTCGGCGGCATCATTTTACACAGCACACCCCATCTGTATCTGTCAGCGCTACCTTTCTCGCCTTCCAACTCTGCAATATTTACAAAATTCACTGCAAGGTTTCCGAACACCCTTCGTCTTGCATCTGGGCGTGATTTAAATTGGCCGCCCATTCAGAGCCTGCTCATAGGGCACATGGATAATGTGCTGACATTATCGTTCTCTCCAGATATGACTCGCATCGTGACTGGTTCTGCGGATAAAACCGTTCGGCTGTGGGATGTCGTGACGGGGCAGCCACTCGGTGAGCCCTTGCGGGGGCACACTGGTGTGGTTAACTCAGTCTCGTTTTCGCCGGATGGGACTCGTATTGTGTCTGGCTCATCGGATAATACCGTCCGGCTGTGGGATACAGCTACGGGCGGGCCACTTGGTGCGCCCTTGCAGGGGCACACTGGTGGGGTTAACTCAGTCTCGTTTTCACCGGATGGGATTCGTACTGTGTCCGGTTCATCGGACAATACTGTCCGACTGTGGGATGCAGCGACGGGTGAGCCACTTGGTGCGCCCTTGCAGGGACACACCGGCGCGGTTAACTCAGTCTCGTTCAAACCAGATGGGACTCGCATAGTCTCTGGTTCATCGGATAACACTGTTCGGATGTGGGATGCAGCAACGGGGCGGCCAGTTGGTGACCCCTTACGGGAACATACCAGTGCTGTCAACTCGGTCTTGTTTTCGCCGGATGGGACCCATATTGTGTCTGGTTCATCGGATAACACTGTCCGTCTGTGGCATGCAGCGACGGGGCGACCGGCCGGTGGCCCCATGCAGGGGCACACTGGTGCGGTTAACTCACTCTCATTCTCGCCGGATGGGATTCACATCGTCTCTGGTTCACATGATAAGACCATCCGAGTCTGGGATGCAGCGACGGGTGAACCGGTCGGTGAGTCCCTCCAGGGGCACACTGGTGGGGTTAGGTCAGTCTCGTTCTCGCCGGATGGGACCCGCGTTGCATCTGGTTCGGTGGACAACACTGTCAGGCTCTGGCATATAGCAAGTAGGCTGCCATTGCAGGAATGTGTCAAGCAAGAGTGTTCAACTGTCTCCCTGGATAAAAGTCTGACCATGCATCAGACGGAGGGCAGCACTACAGTGTCAACCAACACTTGGGACCGTCACTCCATTTGTTTCTCATCCAGTTCAGCTCATGCACTGCGCCGCGCCGCTGAGCTACTCGAGGGCACCTTCCACGATGACCGCAGTTCAACCTCCATTTTACTTGGAGCTGACGGATGGATGGTAGGACCAAATCGTCAGCTTTTATTCTGGGTACCGCCCGCTTCGAGAGAGAGAATTTATGGTCCTGGGACTGCATTGGGGACACCCAGAGGAATTGTTGAGCTTGATTTGAGCCGTATGGCACATGGACGACTCTGGTGGAATTGCCAAGACAAGTGAGTTCCTATATTGTATCCTCACTTCGCAACCACTGAAATAAATCTTCCAGGCCTTACTAACCACGATTTTATTTTAGTAATTAATCCGTGACGTCAGGTGTATCAATGTGTATATAGTTTAATTTCCTTGTTTATTTACAGTAGAGTAGGCTACTCTGATGTGTACGCTGGACTCTATCCTGCCTCCTGAGGCTCTAACTCAACCCCCGGCTGACTCTGCTCTAAGCACCATCTTCAAGTCAGTTGATGCAGGTAGTAGTTGTAGGTCCTGTCTGGGAGGTAACAGCAAAGAATCTGGATCGTTCATCTTTTATGTTCGCCGGAATGTTAACAGACAGGATGAGCATCAGTGAACTGGCAGAAAGAAGGGAATGCCTTTGGGACGACTCCTTTTTCTTTTGACTTTCTTTTAAATACCATAGGACGTTCTTTACTTACTCTGCTGTTGGGTTCATATTCCATTCCTCATTGGATGTTGCATAGTTATAATCTGCATGTGTTTTAGTTACAAAATTCATAGAGCATTGGATGTAATATTGACCCACACGTAAGTTAATGTTGATGTACTAGCACACTGTGACTGTGATGGTAGTACCACTGGGAGCAAAGAAATCTTCAGCTCAACTTGAAGTTGGATGAGAAGGTTGAGTTGCCATGTAACTTCGTTGCATGTGAAATCAGTCACGGTAGGAGAACCTCCCGTAGCAATATCTAACCACCCACTGGGAGTCAAACTTGCAAATCACTGCAGTCAGGTTGTCACTATATTGTGTTTACATAACAGCATTAAGATGCGAATCACCAAGAGGGAGGCGGAAAATATAAACCAGGTGTTGGAATGTGAATTGCTCGTAGCGTGCTTACTTAATCAGCGATACATACGCTAGTCACTATGTTCTTAGTACCTTACCGACTTACGACGATAACGGGATTTCAACATTAGTCGGTGTCACCCTGACTGCTGGGGTGGTAAAGAATTCAGCAGGGCGCGAAGGGCTGCGCATGGAACGACAGGTGAAGAGCTGCTAGTGTTGTCGGGACCGGGCAAATTATTTTTCGGAACTCAAATTTTTATTTTCATCGCTCATTGATTACTGTCCCTACCACTATGTCAATTTCAGACAAATTCTACTCTTTGGCCAAGCTCGATGACACCAACTACACCAGCTGGAGCACATGCATGAAGGCAGTCCTCATCAAGAGGGGCTACTGGTCTCTTGTATCCGGGAAAGAGAAATTGGATGCATCCATTCAAGCTGATGCCAGCAGACTTGCTGCATTCCAGCCGCGCCAGCTCGAAGCTTGCTCAGAGCTCATTCTCGCAGTTGAAGATAGCCAACTCCCACACATGGATGGTGACGACCCCAAGTAGTGCTGCTGCGGTCCGGTTCAGTCTGGTTCAACGGGGGTTAAGCAAGAACCGAGAACCGAACCTGGGTCCGGCTCTACCAGAGTCGACGAACCCTGGACCGAACCTTCGCAAACCATTCAGAGTGGTCAGGTTCGGTTTTTTTTGGGTTCGAACGCGAACCGAACCCTAAAATGTCTAGTAGTGAGTGAATTTTTTGTCGAGTCCTCGTCAATCACAAGTGATGTGAACAGAGTTGATGAATGTATTATGGCTCCAGTTTGGTGGTTCATATGTAAGCAATGGCGTGATCAGATGGATGCAATGCTAAATAAGTCGTGGAGGGCCACATCCATGGCAGGGCCCACTACCTGTTTGGTTGGTCTAAGTCTGATCGTCTCTCCTCGCACAATGGGAACTACACTCCTGACGATGGCAGAGTCGAAGCGAAGAAATGAGGATACAGCAAGGTGTAAGGACAGTGGCAAAGTTCGATGTCCCTTATCGTCTTTGAGCGTAATTAGCTGAGAAGTAGCATGTGGGTCGGTTGAACAACTGGCAATCAATGCCCCAATGTCTTGAATGTCTAGTGCGTGCAGTCTGGACTGGCCGGTAAGAGATTGGTTACAGACGTGCAACTCCACTTGAGCCTGGACAAGATCAGTTGAATCACACTCGATACACAACAAGGGAGGGTAAGTGCTGACCTGGTTCATTAGTCCAGACAACGCGTCCTTGATGGCCTTGAAATTTATAAGACACCACATGTTGTCCCGTGATACCCAATCTCTTCTCATCTTCTCCAGGTCAATCAGCAGGCTACAGCAACGTTAGATTAAATAATGAAGATAGGTCATGCATGTACTTCGGCTTGTTGGGGGCACAGACATTAAGGTGCATAAACACATGCGCGTACAGTGCCTATCTGTAGACGCTGTCAAACCCCCTGCATAGTTTCACAACGAATATCCCACTGACCGGGAAAATGGGCATGCACTGCATCCCTTTGATGCATGCCTGTCTCGCTGCTGCATCCACACCCTCAAATTCATCTACCAAATCCTGGACCTGAAATCTCACTGAGTTGCGAAGATGCTGTGTAGAAGTCTTGGGAGAGTCCATTTGATGATTACGAGATAGTGCAATATCGTCAATGGTCGTTGGTGCGCGAGGTCGAACGGGATTCTGCTGCTGCCAAACAGAAAACCATGTGCTTGAAATTGTAGGAAGAGAAGATTTGAAAATATGAGATGCAACTGTACATGCTACGAGAAGGAGTTTGTAGAGTAGAAGAAAAGAAAGAACCTGTTGAAAGACACAGTTTGATTATTGATAACTAAAATGAAGGAATAAGTGGAGCAGAGGGACAAACGGGAGTGCAGAACGTCGAGTTGGAATTGGAGAACTTCGAATATGGGTCTGTAATGCATTGAGCGTTGATAAACTAGGTATTGAGGGAGTACGTGAACGTCCTGTTGGACGATGCAAGTGAGTAGAGTGCTGGTGCAGATGGTGTTGAACATACATAACGATCACATCCGTGCTTGATATACCACAATCCAGCGCTTACATCGCCAAAGTGAGATTTGAGGGATGATATATGATTGACCAATGGGATCAAGATCGAAGTTGTTGGTAGGAGTTGAAAAGGACTGAAGAAGTTCACAACGTTAACGAAGTTGAAGTGCTCGAGGGAAATGCTTTTGATTTTGACGAGTTGGATTGGGTCGAACAAGGAATAATACCATGGGCTATTCTAGATGAGGTTGTGGTGGTTAATTACAATGGCAAGGGTGGCGGATGGGACGAGGCAACATTGATGTCATCATTAGGAATGTCGTATACATAGCGCCTAGAGTTTTGCCAACATCATATCGGTTCGGGGTTCGGAACGGTTCGGGACCCGTCCAAACCAAAGTCGAACCGTTCTCCCAATGCCAGAACCAAGAACCGTACTATGGTCCGGTTCTGGCTGACACCTGGACCGTGGACCGAACCACAGGGGAACCGGACCAAAAGTCCGGTTTGAACCATGGTTCAGGACCGGACCATGGCAGCACTAACCCCAAGGTTATTTGGGATGAGCTAGCCAAAGTGCACCATGCTCGAGGTCTATCTACCCAGCTCGCTGCCATCCGCAAATTTGTCCGCTTGGAGAAAAAGGCTGACCAATCCATGTCTTCTTGGATCGGCGATGTTTGCGCGCATGCTCACCACCTGAAATGTGTTGAAATCACACTTCCCGATATCTTCACCATCGTTGTCCTCACATCTGGACTCCCACCAGAATATGAGCCTGTTGTTGTTGCGCTCGATGCAGTTGACTCAGCCAAACTTACTCTCGACGTTGCAATTGCTCGGCTCCTCAATGAAGAAGAGCGCCATATTAGCCAACAGCTGATGGCCGAATACAGATCCTCCGCTACAGCTCCTGAGGGCATGGAGAGCGCTGCTTATGCTGCTCGTACGCCAAATGTTACATGCTTCGACTGTGGAAATAAAGGTCACTATGTTAAGGATTGCAAAAAGAGGACTTTGGAGAATGTGGGAGCAAAGGTGGCAGTTACCAATGGTCCAGATTTGTCAGATGAGCTCGAAGATGTCTGTAGGCATATGCACGGGTATGGGTAACCCGTGCGGGTCACGGGTACAGGTACCACTGGGGTACGGGTGGGGGTCGGGATTCAAAAACCCGCATGCTAACCCGTACCCCTGGCATACCCATGCCTTCCTAATGTGGTAATTGTTTGGTGTTCAGTTGTTCAAAGTACCACTAACGCTTCCTCTTTATACTTGTACTATTAGATCTTATAGTTGCTGACTCTAGGTAATGCTGCTCTCAAAATTTAAAGGTATGTTTTTAAAATCTATGTATGTATGTACAGTACATTACTTACGAGTATTTACACCCTTTTTTCAATATCAGGCACTTGTCTGTGCACAGCGCCACTATCCAACCTCAACCTCATTCTCCATCCTCTGCACTCATCCACACCCTGCTGCTATGCCCCTCCATCTTCTTCAACACAACACCTGTGAGTGTGTCAGTCCTCCTTTGAGCTTGAGCCATGCTGATCGAAGTCCACTGTTTGCAGGAGGTGAGTGTGTTGATCCTCCTTCGAGCTTGAGCCACACTGATCGAAGTCTGCCGTTCACAGGAAGTGAGTGCATCGATCCTCCTTTGAGCTTGAGCCATGCTGATCAAAGTCATTTCCTGCTGTTCGTAGCGTGAGTGTGTCAATCCTCCTTCGAGCTCGAGCCATGCCGATCGAAGTCGTTGTCCGCTGTTTGCAGGAAGTGAGTGTGTGTCATATACCATATTCCTGGGTACAGATCTGAAGATCCGGATCTCAGATCCGATCCAGATCCAATGGACATACAGTGGCTCAAAAAACTGTCCGCATGTTTTGACATTTTTCACTATCTATGATATTGTGTGAGAATGAACAAATTCCTCAAGGACATACTTATACCACATTGTAGTATGGCTTCAGGGCTTTTATTTGAGCCCTACACCGTGGGAATCGGCGGAGATATGGTGGAGATATAAGGCTTATAAAATGATGACTCATGTGGACAGTTTTTTGAGTGTATATTAAAACTATATAAATCATTATTTATGACACCATAAAAATCATGCCACTATTATATAAATTATAAAGTGGTGTCATTATGTTATTTTATGACTATATCTAACTATATAAACCAGAATATCTCATGTATCATAGTCATAATCACCATGAAAGCCATCTCCTCTGCTCAAAGAGATAATATCCTCTCTCTGTCTTATGCTGGCCTCTCTGCTCGCCAAATTTCCTCTAGAACTGGAATATGCAAGTCCACTGTGGCCAAGTTCATCAAAGAAAGCCACCCAGACAAGGAAAACTCTTGTGGAGGACGTCCATCCAAGCTTACCTCTACTGACAAAAGGGCTATTATCCAACATATCACTACAGGAAAGGCTGATAATGCTGTCCAAGCCACCCATTATATCAATTCCACCATCACTACCCCTGTCTCTTCACAAACTGTGAGGAATGTTCTCAAGGCAGCTCATCTCAAGGCAGTAACAAAGAAGAAAAAGCCTCTTCTCTCCATCAAACATAGGCAGAGAAGACTAGCCTTTGCCTTAGCTCATCAACACTGGACTGTAGAGGACTGGAAGCATGTTATATGGTCAGATGAGACCAAAATCAATAGGATTGGGTCAGATGGGAAGGTGTATGTATGGAAAAAGAAGGGAGATGGCCTAACAGACAGAGAGGTTAATGGGACTGTCAAGTTTGGAGGAGGTTCTTTAATGGTATGGGGCTGTATGGGATGGAATGGTGTGGGAATGCTTGCTGAGGTTGAGGGGAAGATGAATGCTGAGCAGTATGTGGACATTTTAAATGACCACTTGCTGCCTAGCTTGGCAGAATCAGGGATTGATGAAGAAGATATCATTTTCCAACAGGATAATGATCCCAAGCACACATCCAGAAGAGCTAGGGAATGGTTTGAAGAACATATCATCAATGTTCTTGACTGGCCAGCACAGTCTCCTGATGTCAATGTCATTGAACATCTCTGGGGAACACTCAATAAAAAGCTTCAAGCCTATGAAAACCCCCCTAAAGGAGTATGGGAGCTTTGGGAGAGAGTAGCAGTGGAATGGGGGAAGATCACAGCTGAGGATTGCCAGAAATTAATTGAGAGTATGCCTAGAAGGATAGAGGCAGTAATTAAAGCCAAGGGAGGTCATACAAAATACTAGAATACCTGGTTATTACTGTAAAATACTTGAGTCAAAAAACTGTCCGCATGAGTCACCATTTTGTGAGCCTTGTATCTCCACCATATCTCCACCGATTCCCACGGTGTAGGGCTCAAATGAAAGCCCTGAAGCCATACTACAATGTGGTATAAGCATGTTTTTGAGGCATTTGTTTGTTCTCACACAATATTATAGATAGTGAAAAATGCCAAAACATACGGACGGTTTTTTGAGCCACTGTACTTGTTTGCTATCCATATCTCGTGTTGTGTTGCCTCTTCAAGAAATTGTTCCCAGTGTTCTTTCTTCACCTTGTAGATGGTTTCGGATACACGGTTTTGAAGTTTGTGGTGTTCCTCGTGTGACGGGTGATCTGGCATTGCTCTGAACTTATAGGATAGATTATGTAGCTCGTGTTTCTGTCTTATCAGTTGCGATATTTCCTTGGTCCACCAGTGTTTGGCATGAGGGTTGGGTCTGGTCTTTGGGACGGCTTCCTCTATGGTATCATGTAAGGCCTTTGCAAGGTTCTGTGCTGCTGTGTTGAATTCGTCTCTACTTTCTAGTGGTCGAGGTGGAGGGATGTGTCTTAAGTGAGTTTCGAGTTTTTTGGAGAATTCCTCCCAGTCTACATCTCGGTAGTTGTATGCTATAGATGTAGTGGCCTTGGGGATTTTGAAGTCAAGTGTACTTAGGATTGGGACGTGGTCAGTTTTCGGAGGGCCGGAGCTGTATCGCAGACAGTGAATGAGTCTAGGGTGTTGTCGGTACACATAACATTATCTGGTCTTGTCCAGTTTCCTGAGCTCGTCAATTGTAGTGTCAGTAGGTTCTTCAGGAGGGCTTGGCACATTCTGTATTCTGCCATCAGTTCAATCCAGGCTTGTGTGTGAGTTTGGGCCTCTCGTGTTTCGCATAGGTGGCGGTTGCGTTCCTCTTCCCAGAGTGTGTGGTGACAGTTGATATCGCCGAGCCAGATCATGTGGTCCTCTGCAGTTGGTCGCACTAGATGGATGTGGTCCTCAAGATATTGGCGTAGGGTTGGGGGAGTGTCTTGTTTTGTGCCGTCATTGTATACATTGAATAGAGTGAGTTTTCCGAAGGTGCCAGAGAATTGAATGACGACCACATCTGCCGAGGGGAAGGGAAGTTGTCTCCAGCTGTTAGTGTTGAAGTGTTTGTGTACTAGGGTGACTGCTCGTGATTGCTTGGTGTGGGTGTATTGCTGTGTCCGGTATACTACATGCCAGTCGGGAGTTGCTCTTGTATTACCTTTGGTGTCAATGGTTGGTTCCTGGATTGCTACTACGTCCCAGTCTCTGGCTGTTTGAGGTCTGCTTAATATACAGTGTTGGGCGTCTGACGATGTGTTTAGGTTTTGTTGCCATATGCGGAGACGTGCTGTGGAGTTGTTTTGCATGTTAGGTTTTTAGTTCCAGCCGGAGGCGTTAGCCTCTGTTGATGGTCCTGGGATGGATTTGAGTGAGTATGGTTCTGGGTATGGTTGGGGAGATGCTCGGTTTGGTGTGTAGCCTCTTGGGGATTGTCTCGTGCCTCGGTTTCCTTGAGTTGCTGGTCTTGTTGGATACATATCTAGACGTTGTTGAGTGAGGGGCGGGGGTTGATGCTGGTTATCTCTTGATGGCGGAGGTTTGCAGTATGGAGGAGGTTTGGGTGGGGCTCTTACTTGTGTCCATTCTTCGTTTGTCGGGAAGTAGGGCATCTGATTGTCCGGGTATTGTTTGTCCATGCTTTCGCAGCGTTTGATGAAGGTTGGGCAGTCCCTGTCTCAACTCAAGTGATCAACTGATTTGCATGCTGTGCAGTACTGTTTGTCTTTGATGGTGCAGTCTGTCGTTTGGTGGTTGTTGCTGCAGTTAGTGCAGGTGTCACTATGATTCCTTGGCTATGTGTCCAAAGTGTTGGCATTTGGCGCATCACATCAGTTCTCGCCTGTTCTTTTTTGGCCAGAGCTTGGCTTGGTCTACTACGATGCCGTCTTGAATAGCGTTGTTGGCAGTTGTTGGATCTGTAAGTGTGATTAGTATGTGAGCTACTCTTTGTGTGCTTGTTCTCCGTTCTGCTGGTTTTATCCAGTGTGCCGTTAGCACTTTTCCCTCGTTCCATCCATTCTCTTGTTCCATCTGTTGAAGGTTAGTGTTATCTGTAGGTCTGAATGAGGTAGGCATGAAAGGCATGACAACCATATATGTTCTTTCTTTGATTGTAGCTTGTGGGTCTAGGTTTCGGAGGAGGCATTCTCTGGCGTTGTTTTTAGTTCGCAGGTATTGTGCGGCTTCCTTATTTGTCGTTTTGACAACCATTCCTCCTTGTTGGAACTGGGTGATAGACCGGGTCTCTAGTTCTGGTGTGTCATCGTCTTTGGGCAGGGTGGCAAGTGCTTTCTTGACTTTCTCGACTAGTTGTGCATGTGACGATTTTCCTGCTGCTAGTTCACTGCTTGAAGGAAAGTCAATGAGGAGTTGGCATTCTTTGATGGCTTTGCATGCTGTTCTTTGAAGGTGTTGTGCTTGGGCTTCAGGGTCTGCGTGGTTTTCTGCTGCTGCTATCGTTGCGTAAGTTGGTTTCATTGAGGCAGTTTCTAATACTTGGGTGGAGAGTTTGATGAGTGATAGTTTCATTTCTTCTAGTTGTGTGTCTTGTGTTCCTGTGTTTGTCTTGAGGTCTGTATTGGTTTTTGTTAGCTTCTCTTCAGTTTCCTGCAACTTAGCGATGTGTGGGGATATTGCGGCCGTGACATGACACTGTGACAACTATATTTTCGCTAGGCTCGTATGAAGCTAGTATACGACTCCCGACCATACCCCATGTCGTGCGACTCTCCCCTGGCCATCCCCGACACCACCCGATGGGCGGACCCACTCATATACCCTGCAGACTCATCCTACCTATGTCCAGTCCTGTCACGCTTAACCCCATTAGGTGCCTAGTAGTCCATTTTCGTATTATTGATAGTATAGGCAGCATTATTATGAGGATTCCCACTGGCCGCAGCACCTCATGTGCTTTTACATACTTAATCGGGTCCGATGATGCGCTACTACTTTCGCCTACAGTACTCCGGACTTGCACGTAGCTAGTTAAATAGGACTCAGTAGGTGATCGTACTTTACCAAATTGTAGATGGGAGAAATTCCCTGATACTGGTCACCCTACCTAGTCCCTATCCCCTATAACTGCTGAATATACCTGATTCCCTCTCCTTACAATCTGAACCTCAGTCGCTCATTTTCCTAAGCATTCCTTGGCATTTCAATTATAAACCCACCCCCCCCCCCCCATCTCCTCTCTTGCTTTCCTGTCCTCCCCGATCCCCGAAACATCGGACTTCATCTCCTATCATTGGACTTGACCTTTCTACCTTCAGGTTTTATTCCTCGTGTGGTACTGACTTATTTCAACTTAACTAGACAGCAGACCCCTTTAGGGTCGAACGCTCTTGCTTGCAAGTGAAGCAGCTAGGCAGAGCTACGACCACATATACTGGCTAAGTACTTTTATTTGAGCCACTGTATCTAGTCAGGTTGTGATTTCCACAACACACAATGGTCTCCGCCATTTCGTTTGTTGCTCCTTCTTCCAGTATAAAGGCCATCACGTGCATAGCCGTTTGTGCTGGAAGGGAGACACCTGCTAGTTGAGTGGTATGAAGAAGTAGTTCAGATATTTCGTTTTGGTTTTTGTAGGGTTTTCCAGTGAGAGACAGAGTGATGCGTTCTAGATATTTCTTTCCTGTTTTTGTGTTAGTAACTTCGTTTTTTAATGCTATTATTTCTGGTATGGACAGTCTAGGTGGTGCTTGTTTATTAGCAGTCACGGTTGGTGTTGGGTTTGCTGGGGTGGTTGGATGAGTTTCAGAGACCTGGTTGGTACCTGAGGTTATCATGTCCCTTAGGTTTCGTGTTCCAGTGCCTTTGTCTTTGTCTTTGTTAATGACTAGAGTGACTGCCGGGGCCATGTTTGAGCAGGTGCCGTTGAACACGCGCATTGAGCGCGTTTGAGTTCTGGGGTCCTAGTTGGGGTGCCACTTGGTTCAGGGCCAAGAAGCGATAGTCGTCTATCTACTGGGCTGTGTAGTTGTTTCTCCAATGTGAGGCCAGTTTTCAGTGTCATGATGACAGGTGAGCTTATGAGGCGAGAAGGAGCTAGAACAAAATGTATGTATCTCAGTCGGTAGAACAAACTCATTACAGTGAGTATGTACCTAGAATGAAATGTATTCTGCATCTCGTATTAGCGTCGTACAGTAGTAAAGGTGCATATGGACTTACATCTCAGTTGGTAGAACAAACTGAGATGTTTGGATGACTAAGTCAGTCCTTTTATCATATGGTAGAACTTGGTGTAGAGACTCACATTTCTGCAGGCACATATGGGCTCATATGTATTATGAATTCTGACAACTGGCCTTCATGGCACAACTTGCACCATCATTCTCTAGTCATTCCCTATAGAGCGCACCACTTTCCCGCCAAATGTGCCATAGGCACAATACTTTCCCACACAATGCGCAGCATTCCTGCATGCGCGCTGTAGAGACTCCATTGCGAGTAGCCTCACAAAGGCCGTATTTCCACTTCATCTCCACTAATGCGCGCTATATACAACAAGGCGACTTAAACGCGCTAAACGCGCGACGCTTCCGCCTAATCCACACATCCGCGCATCTGGCGCCTATAGCGCGCCTCTATAGTGCCTTTCGCGTTACTACGGCGCCTTTGCGCGCGCTTTCGCGCTTTACCTTCGTGTTCGCTTTTCCAAGTCGCCTGTCCTCCGCACGTCCTGTCCTGTCCCTCTATGATCCGCTGGTGCATCTCCCTTTATCTTTTCAACTGACTTTAGCTATATACCTCGTCTGTTTACACATATTTCCTTATTCTACAACACAACAACTCTTTTTCGCTTCGCTTCCGCTTCGGCTCAGCGCCTGGGAACATTTACCTTAGACATGGGGACTCTGATAGATTTTTCACGGACTTACTTACTTACTCACTACATCCCATCATCCTGCATCAGTGTATACTGTGAATCAATTTCTATTCATTTGCAACACAACCACTGCGCGACTCTCTATTCTTTTGCAACAAGCTCTCTTGAGAAAATCTGGAGAGACCTTCGCGCTACTTCTGCCTCTTCACTAATGCCTATAGCGCGCTTGTTCCGCCTACGTCGCGCTTTCGCCTTTCGTCGCGTTAACGCGTGTTTCGCGTTTACAAGGTGTCTCGCACCTGCGCTTTGTGCAGATTCCCTTGCTGACTCGTTCAGCGCATCCCCTCGCATTTACTCGAGGAAAAGACTCAGTAAAGATCCTCTTGGGCCGACTTCTACTTGCGTTCGAGGACTACTGCAGGCGACTTATCTTACATTTTTCAGTATAGACCCACTCACGATTCCTCATCTTCAGCGCCTTGCGCGCTTTCTCATGCTGCATCCATCATCCAACCAGTCCCTTGGTATGTCCCTTTTTGTTATCTGACTATATTTGGCATATTACACTTCCTATCTCGTTATGGACCCTTACTTTACATCACTTTACCTCACTTACATACTTAGAGCACCCCCTATTCGGCTCCGAGCCCTGGGAGAGCGCTTAGGTAGAACTTACATACTCTCATGTTCGTTTTACACCTTACCTTTTACACCCCACTTTTCCACCTTAGCTTCCTACCACTCACAGCTTCCTACCACCATGTTATTTGGCAGTTAGTCCATGCAATGCATATATCCATCATCATCTTGAGGCCCTAGCATCAGTCTACAGCTAGTGGCACTATCAGTATCCATCTAGATCTGTGCTTTTCCTCTTATCAGTCTCAGTATACGTGTTCTACACTTGTGCACCGCTTGCACTACCTTCCCGCACTTCGCACACTTTCGCACTTTGCTTTCCCACACGCACCTGCAGCACATTTCTTGCGCTTTCCCCGCCATTTACTAGGGTTGTTCAGCATCATTCTGTGGATCCTTGCTTTCCTTGCTTCCCCTTTAGGGTCGAACGTTCTTGCATTCTGCGAGTATAGCAGCTAGGCAGAGCTGAGACTCACTTATACTGGCTGAGCACTGTTCTTATATGTGCCTGCCAGGTTGTGATACCCACATTGGGAAAGGAAAACATATGATGGTGAAACATACGGGATGACTGCACAGCCAATGTCACAAGGATATCCGCCGAATATGCTCATACCTCATCCTTAATCCAATGTATCTGATCCGGTCAATCTCAACACTCTCCCTCGAGCACATTCATCTAAAGCCATGAGGAGCCGAAGCTTTTGGAGGCATGGGTGAGGCAAGCCATGCATGAATGTGTCTGTGACATTGTCCTCAGTGGGACAATAGTGTAGGGTGAATGTTCTATTCTTGACATGAGTGCGGACAAAATGGTACTGTAGATCAATATGTTTTGTGCATGATTGAAACTTGTTGTTACTGGCCAAAGCTATTGTAAGGCTCATACTGAGTAAGAAGGGGACTGGATCCTGATGGGAATGTCAGCAAGCATTTTAAGGCAGATATAGAGGCAGCTGAACCATGTAGCGTTCAGATAGTGGAACTTTCTGGTGGAGGTTCTATCTGGTTGGAGCAGGAATTCAACGTGTAAGATTCTGCTAAGGTCTGAGTGTACATGGGCAGTATATATATGGTCTGAATACTTGTTGAGCCAGATTCAGCATGAAAATACTTGATGTTGGAGTGAAAATACTCTGAGTGAAGGTGAAAATACTCAAGAAATGAACAGATAGTGTGATAAGAGAGTAAGGAAGGTACTGAATGTTAAGTCAAAAAGAGAATGTATCTGCATGACTCGGATGCGATGAGTAACACTCTTTGCATCAGTGACTCATGCAGACTACTCTGAATGCATGGTTCGAGTGTCTTGCTTTTGAAATGTAGTTGGGGCTTGAAGGACCTAGGGTCCTTACACTATGGCAGCTTGGTTGTCACATTGGATGGGAGTGGGGAGGTCAATGACCTGGTAGAGTTTGTCAAGGAGAAGCTGCAGGTACAGTACCTCACGAGTGATAGAGGTAAGCACGATATATTTGGCTTCAGTCATTGAAAGAGCAATAATGGGCTGCTTTCGAGCGCTCCATGCCACCAGTCCTCCATTCAGCATTACCACATACCCAGACATTGAATGCCTGTGGGGTTGTGATGCCAAATCAGTGTCAACATAAGCAACAAGCCCCTCATCTGTAGTGCCCAGGGTAAGCATCATGGCTGCAGTACCCTTCAGATAGTGAATGACCCTTTTAATAGCCTCACAGGGGACTCTACCTGGATTTTGCATGAATTGAAATAGTGTGGCAACAGCAAAGGCAATATCAGGCTGGGTGCTTGTTGCAGCATACATGAGGAAGCCTATTGCTCTCTGGTAAGGTATGTCCCTCATGTCCTCGAGTTGGGCATTGGTAGCAGGGGATTGGGAGTCAGAGAGGACGGTGGCGGCTTCCATGGGTGTCTGGCATGCTTTGGCGTCCAGCATGTGGAATCACTCTAAGACCATGTCAATATAGGCTTGCTGGGACAAGGTGAGTGTGCGTGTGATGCAGTCTCATTCGACTTTCAAACCAAGCAGCCAATTCAACTCTCCCAGGTCTGAAATCTCGAAGTACTTGGTGAGTTGGCTCTTGAAAGTGACAATGTGGCATAGGTGTTTTGAGGTAATGGCCATATCATCCACAGACACAGTGATGACCATCTGCTCTTCCTCCTCATGCCTGTAATAGACTGCCTGGTCAACTTGTGAGTGTGAGTACCCCAGCTTCGCAAAGATGAATGCAAGTTCCTCAGACTACTCATACCCAGCTTGCTTCAACCCCGGTAAGCTCCTCTTCAACTTCAACACCTTTCCCTCATCTCCATCCTTCAGGTACCCTGGTGGTGCACACATATAGATATCCTCCTTCAGTTCAGCATAGAGGTAAGTGCTTTGATATCCACTTGGTAAGTTTCCCAGTCGAGCTGAGCGGCCATAGCGAGAACAGTGTGAATGGTGGTCATATGAGTGGTAGGTGTGAAGGTTTGGAAGTAATCAAGGCCATATTGCTGACATTGGCCATTTGCAACAAGCCTAGCATGGAGCTTTACCTTTTGGCCATCTGGTCTATGCTTGGTAGCTAACACATAATGGCATGGGATGATGTTAGCACATGGCAGTGGAGTTATGACTTCCCATGTTCCAAGCTTCTCAAGCTGACCTATCTCATAGTTTATGGCCTCCTGCCATTCCTCTGCATCTGGACCATTTAGGGCCTGGCTTATAGTTGGTTCTACTGCAGCAGTTGCCAGGGCAAACTCCTGCCACCTGGTAACTTGGCCCTCATCTGGGAGATCTGACTCAGCAAGCTCGAAGATGGCCTGCAATGCCATGAGTTGTGATTTGTAACCATGAAGTTCCGACTGACCGATATTCTGAGACCGAGGTCTGAAGGTGTCCAATGCGATATAGGATACCGATGGTACACCTGATGAGAGATACCCAATGCAAGGTAGAGAAGTCTGATACCGATGGGAGTGGCAGGTAAGGCTAGGCCGAGGTAAGGAGAGCCTAGGTATAACTAGGTATGACAAGGTAAAACTAGGTATAGATTGCTGAGGCAAGACTACTGGTAGCGGTCCAGTGTAGAGACTCAAGTCTCTGCAGGCACATATAGCTCATATTGTGACTCATGGCAACTGGCCTTTACTGCACAACTTGCACCATCATCCATATGCGACTTCTATCATGTCTCTAGTCATTCTGCATACAACATGCAGCTTTCCCGTGAAATGCGCCATAGGCGCGCTACTTTCCCACACAACGCGCAGCATTCTTGCGCGCACACGCTTAGTGCGTTTTTCTCGCACTTGTCACCCTACTCCATATGCAACTTCTACTATGTCTCCAGTCATTTCGCATACAATGCGCAGCTCTCCTGCAAAACGTGCCATAGGCGCGACACTTTCTCGTGCTTTTGTGTTTCACGTTCCCACGTGCACTTAGCGCATTTCTCGCGCTTAAGTGCACTCCATCACGCATCATCCAGGAGCATCCATCCATCGTCCAACCAGTTCCTAGGTGCGTCCCTTTTCATTATCAGACCATATTTAGCCTATTACACTTTGTATTTCGTTATGCACCCTTACTTTACATCATTTTACCTCACTTACATACTTAGAGCGCTCCCTATTTAGCTCCAAGCCCTGGGAGAGTGCTTAGGTAGAACTTACATACTTTCATGTTCATTTTACACCCTACCTTTTACCCACCATTAGCTACCAGCTTCTGGCAGTCACCATCTATCACCAGTTAGTTCTATGTAATGCATGCGTCCATCGCTGTCTTAAGGCCCTAGCATCAGTCTAAAGCTAGTGGCAGTATCAGTATCCATCTATATCTGCACTTTTCATCATATCATCGTCTTTCTACACTTGTGCACTGCTCGCACTACCATCCCTGTTCTCCACGCCTTTTCGCATTTTCACCTTTCGCACTTTCGCCTTCCTGCGCTTCGCACATTTTCGCATTTCACTTTCCCGCGCACACCTTCAGCGCGTTTCTCGTGCTTACATTGCCCTTTTGTTGCCTTTGATCAGGGTTGATCAGCATCATTCAGTGGATCCTTGCTTTCCTTGCTTCCCCTTGAGGGTCGAACATTCTTGCATTCTGTGAGTATAGCAGCTAGGCAGAGCTTAGACTCACTTTTACTGGTTGAGCATTTTATTTCTTAGTGCCTAGCCAGGTTGTGATCCGCACACCAGATCTCACAAGGGCCTAGGTATAGAAACCTTAGATAGCGTGCACTTAGAGCTGTCCAAGGCACATCCAATGATAAGGAGCAAAGGGATCAATTTGCACAATCAAAGACTAGCTAAGGTGACTCCTACAACAGTAGCAGGTATGTCCAGAGAAGGGAAGTGAGAGATAGTACGAAATTTGAGTCCTATCGATCTAACTATGTGAATGTCTGGAATCACACAGGTGAGAGTAGTAGCAAGACACAAGGTATTCAGGTCAATATGTAATAAGGCTTGCGAGTGCTGCGGCTGTGGGAATACATGTAATAACGCCTGCTGTTAATTCAGTAATGGTAAATTAAGCTTAAAACGCACCAATGGAGATAGGCGGACATGGGCAGGACATGGGAGGACTTGGCACTGATAGGATGGAATGGTCGGCTGAAGTGTGTGATGACCGAACCAGTGGGTAAGGCATGATGCCTGCAATCCTGACTAACTGCGAGTGGCCAAGGCAGTGGGTCTGTATCGGCTGAGTCAGACATAGTCCGCCACAACAATGGATGGGTTGGGTGAGTCGAAGTTCTGCAAGGAAGTGATGGGTGGATGTGATATGGACTTCTAGGATGCTTGACCTCTATAGAAAAAAGGGATTCTGTGAGGCTAGCCTGAGTTTGAACACCACATTGGTCTAGGTGCAGGAGGTGGAGTATCCAGGCTCATGGGTCTTCTGGGGGGCGTACTAGGTGAGTTTTGAGTGACTGGAGTGGGTGGGACATTGGCTGAAGATGTTATCTGGCTGTTAAGGTCATTATTAATAGGGTTGGACTTTCCCTCAGCCACAACATTGACAGTTGAAGGTACAAAGGTCATGTTTTGCTCAATGGATACCTTTCACTTACCAAGCCAATAGACTCGATACACCTTACTTTCCATGTCGATCCCTACAAAAACAGCCTCCTCTGCCCTAGCATCCAACTTCCCACCAGCAGATACCAGCACATAGCAAGGTGCACCAAATTCCTGTGCTTGGGCTAAGTCCGCTGATGCGCCATGGAGTAAGTCATATGGTGTGTGGTCTGGTATTGCCCTAGAGGGTAAGCAATTTTTCAGCCAGGTTATATAACTGACAGCTTCAGCCTACAGATATTTTGGCAAGTCCCTTCCTAGCAACATGGCCTGAGTGAGGGAAACAAGGGTGCAATTGAGGCATTCAGCAATGCTATTTTGCTGTAGGGAGTCATGGACTGTAAGTTCTCTCTCAATGCCTTAACTGCGCAGGGTACTTATTAAATTTGGCAGAGAGATACTCTCCCCCTCAATCCGAATAGGGCTTTAGGATGCAAACATCTCTGTTCTGCCTGGACAGGTGCACCTCATACTCTTTAAAGGCCGTCAACACCTCACTCTTGACTTTGAGGAAGTGGAGGCTGGTTTCATGGGTATAATCATCTGTGAAACTCATATAGTAAGTGCACCCGCCTAGGCTCACAGTTTGGGAGGGGCCCCACAGGTCTGTATGCACTCGCTCACCATATCGTTCAGCTCTCATTTCTGTCTCTTTGGGAAGAGGATGATGTGTAGCCTTCACCTTGATGCAGGCTTCACAAAACTCAGGCTGCGAGGTGGAGTCGAGCTCGACACCTTTAATTAGGGCCTTTCTCATGACTTCCACAATGGCAGTCTGGGACACATGACCCAGGACCTTGTGTAGCTCGAAGACAGTGAGTTTTGCTTTAGCAAGATTGGCATAGTGAAGCTGATGACATACAAGGACTGTGTACAGTCCTTCCACTTGGGGAATTTTGGCTATGATTCTGCACTTAGGTCCCATGGACAGGATCTTGCACAACTTTCCTTCAAAATGGATGACCATACCCGCTGCAGTGATACGGTTGGTGGAGACAAGAGTGAACACAATCTGGGGGGCATAGAGAGCATTTTGGAGGGTGACAGTTGTGTGTTTTGCCCCTGAAGGTAAGTCTATCTTCACATTGCCCCTCCCTACTGCACTAACCATTGTCCCATCAGCCATGTGTATGTCTTGTGGCTCGATAGGTACATAGTTCTCGAACTTGGAACAGTCAGGGCAGAAATGTGCACTGGCACCTGAATTGATTATGGCACCTTGATGCTCCGCAGGGATTGTGAATTGCTCGGCTACAGAGATGAGGTCTGAGGTTGTGAAAGTGTAGTTGTTGGTGTCAGGAGGATGGGAATCACCAGCAGCATTAGCTGCATGCTTTTATGAGTCCCCTACTCCTCTTTTACTCCATTGATAAGGTCCTTGACCCTCTTTTCCTCTCCCTTTTCACCAACAGTCTAACTTGTAATGGCCTTTATGGTCGCAGTTATAACAAACTGCGTCCAGGTTGATTTTACTCATGGTAGACTTAGACCCTTTTCCCCTTCCCATATTTGTCTTTATGGAGAAGGCTGAATTCCCTCCCTTCTTCCCTGGCCAGCGTTCAGTAAGCATGTGATGCTCATACTCCTCTGAGACAATGTTGATAAGTTCATAGGGAGTAAGTGGCCTTAGCATGACCTTGACAACAGTGTTAATGGATGAGAGAAGCAGGCGGTAAGATTCTGGGAGGGATCCCATGAGGATGGTGTAAAAATCTCTATCTTCCATGGCTGTGCCCATACTTGCTAATGATTTGCAGAGCCACAGCATCTCGCTGAAATGGGCTTTGACATCCCTGTTTTCCTCACACTTCATCTCCTATAGGCAATGGCGCAGGTCTATCTGAACAAGTTCAGTTTTCTCCTTGTGGATGTCACAGATCTCGGTCCATATGGTTGAGGCAGACTTGAACTTCTGGACATGGAGCAGCATCCTATTCATGGCAGTGCTGAATATTTGCTACCTTACAAGTGAGTCTTTTTGATAGAATTCATCTATTGTTTTATCGAGAACATCAATCTCTGCCTGCATAACTGTGGTGCCATCTGGTTTGGTGACCATGCTTGTGTCCTTGTCTATGACAAATGGGACAGGTCTAACTGCACAACCATCTGCGTACAACATCAATCCTTGTACACCAATTGCCATTAATGTTCTCTCCTTGTAGGTTATCCAATTGCTGCCATCCTCAGCTATCTTGGCAACATTGAACAGAGCTAATGTGGTGCTGGGGAGTGTTTTCCATGGCCAAGGCAGGGCTCATAACCTGTCGTGATGACAGGTGAGCTTATGAGGTGAGAAGGAGCCAGAACAAAATGTATTCTGCATCTCATGTTAGCATTGTACAGTAGTAAAGGTGCATATGGACTTATTTCTCAGTTGGTAGAATGAACTGAGATGTTTGGATGACTAAGTCAGTCCTTTTATCATATGGTGAAACTCGGGAAAAGAAAACATATGATGGTAAAACATATGAGATGACTGCATGGCTGATGTCACAAGGATGTCTGTCAAATGTGCTCATACCTCATCCTTAATCTGATGTATCTGATCTGGTCGATCTCAACATCTAGGTCGTACATGCATGTTGAAGTTGGCCCTCCTGGTCCAGATAGAGATGACTCGCCTACTAGGTACCATGTTTGACCCATAGATACACTTGAAATCGGTATTATGATATACTCTTATCTTGGTGGCCGAAGGCTATGATTGGATCCTCCACATCATATATACTTCTCCATACTGCAAACATATTAACAAAGCCAAAGTCAGGATGGGGCACACACCTATAGAGTCATCCATGACATTCAATGCTGCCAACACATTGTTGCTCATAGCAGACAGAACATAATCATCATGAAATGGAGGTACAGTATGTAGAGAGCCATGCAGTGGTACATCTTTGACACTGGTAACCCTTCATCTGCTGAGACATGCTCAGCTAGCTATTGTTGCCTGTGAGAAGCACTATAGCTCAAAGGATTTATGTTGACAAATGTAAGTTGAGCACATATCAATACATCTGTTTAGCAACAGGCAGATAAAGTGTTGCTCAATATACCAGTAGCAGCTGAATTCACACTGAACCTATCCTCTGAATGATGATATTTGACTTATACGTCACTGTCTTGAGTTTGTAGCTGGTTCTCTTTGTCACTGAACAGCCATTCAGCCTCAGAGGGGTCACCCCATGTGGGTGGATGGATATATCCCTTTGGACTATAGCCCTAAAACTGGGATACATCATTTAGCTGAATTATCCATGATTAGGATATATCCAATTAGTCTAATGCCCCTGTATCTTCCTAGTAGATCTACCTGTATCTGATGTGGCCTCACAGCCGCATTTTTCGCATTTTTGAAACTTAGCTATTTTTATATTCCACATTTAGTGAAAGATGTTGTGACCGCAGTTTTGGCTTCCAAATACGGTAATTTGCAGAACATATCCCTTTTTGGTGACCTACAGCTTCCCCACATTATCCCCACACTGCATTTTTGGCCACCTACTGTGGGAATTTCCCCACTACACCCAAAACATCACCCATTTTGGGAATCTTCACAATATCAATTATTCCCACACTCTCCCCACATAACTGCAGCTTCACCACCTCACCACAACAGGTTTCCCTTCATATTATAAATAGTAGTTTGGTATATATATGTATAATATAATATAATAAACTGCTTTTTTTGTCTATTTGTATCCCTGCTCCTCCTGCAAATAGCCATTCAAATGGGGTGAGGAACAGAACCCTTTCGCATTTTTGCCCCTTTGATAGGGATGTGTTCTAGGATATTTAGAACATGTTTAGGAACATATATGAACAGATCCCCACCTTTATTTGACCCCCTGAGGCATCCTACATCAATAGATACAGCATATACACATGAAAACACAAAATATGTTTTCATGTGATTATTTCTAGGTGGATAGACTTAGAAAAACTATCCACAGCATCTGTTCAACAATAGGAACAATGTATCAGGAGCTCAGAACAATAGGAACATATCTTGTTGTGTAGTGTATCCCCCCTCTCCTGGTGGTTTACCCCCTGTAATTTTTTTTCCTGTAGGACCAGAGCTCAGGGATGGTGAGGGGTCTATTTCTATTCATATTTGGAGTGTATCTATCAGATAGGTACTATAGGAAACCTATAGGATCCTTGAACAGGAACAAAATTGCACAATTCGCATTTTTGACACTTTTGATGTTTTCCAGTATCTTAACCTTGCACACATGGACAACTCTGCTCATAGATCATTAGTGGTGCATGCATAGATGTGTCTGGTGCTGAGGATCAGCCCGATATAGGGCGCAGATTTGACATCTGATGTAAAGAGGGTATTTGTACTGATTAGAGGCCTACATGGTAATGAAGAGTGTTGTTAGTGATCAGAGACCTGGTATACCTCTCAGATATATCCCTAATGGTAGCATTCAAGATTTGGAAAGATCCATCCAGTATTGAGTGAATGAGAAGCAAAATGACATATCTGTGAAATGTGACAATTGTCATATTTTTACACAAAGTTACATTTATATATGATACAGGTCGAAGATTTCATAAAAATATGTAGGATACATGGCATACTACCTAAGGAACCTATACTACCTACTGCCCTGAGGGTAGGGGGTGGGTGAAAGTGGTGTAGTGTAAATATGACTTGCCCAGCATTAAAGTCTGACCACTGCATAACTGAGCATTTTCGATGTTTTGGGCATCTGAAGTTTCTCACACTCAATTTCTTATCTGTTTCACTTCCCCAGTGTTCAATTTTTTGGGGATCTTTCTGTACATTTGGGCCCATGATACTGAATATATTTCAAATGTGTCCCAAGTGTCTGATCATTAAAATTCGATATTTTGAAAGTATGGGCCCCTAATCAGTAAAAATAGCAAGTATACACACTATCTCAAAACTCCAGCATATTTTGAGCTGATCATTGTCATCAAAGCAAGTATGTATGCTATGCAAATGATATGTGAGCAGAGTTGTCCATGTGTGCAAGGTTAAGATACTGGAAAACATCAAAAGTGTCAAAAATGCTGAATTGTGCAATTTTGTTCCTGTTCAAGGATCCTATAGGTTTCCTATAGTACCTATCTGATAGATACACTCCAAATATGAATAGAAATAGACCCCTCACCATCCCTGAGCTCTGGTCCTACAGGAAAAAAAATTACAGGGGGTAAACCACCAGGAGAGGAGGGATACACTACACAACAAGATATGTTCCTATTGTTCTGAGCTCCTGATACATTGTTCCTATTGTTGAACAGATGCTGTGGATAGTTTTTCTAAGTCTATCCACCTAGAAATAATCACATGAAAACATATTTGTGTTTTCATGTGTATATGCTGTATCTATTGATGTAGGATGCCTCAGGGGGTCAAATAAAGGTGGGGATCTGTTCATATATGTTCCTAAACATGTTCTAAATATCCTAGAACACATCCCTATCAAAGGGGCAAAAATGCGAAAGGGTTCTGTTCCTCACCCCATTTGAATGGCTATTTGCAGGAGGAGCAGGGATACAAATAGACAAAAAAAGCAGTTTATTATATTATATTATACATATATATACCAAACTACTATTTATAATAACATCCATCTGGATAATGGATAATGTAACTGAATAATGTATCCTAGTTTTAGGCTTATAGTCTAGTTTGGATGTATCATTATAGCATTATGGGCTAGAGGGGTATATCACCTTGTCATTGTTGATGGTGGGTGAAAGTGAATCCAGGTATTCAAGTACCTCGTCCAGATTGTGCTCTGGTTTCTTTCCTACAGGGAGCTTGATAAAAACCTTCTTGGCAATGCTTTGTTTCTTCTTTGCCATAGATAAAAACTTGGACGATAATACAATGATATGAAATAAACACAGTACTATTACTCACCACCAGTTTGTGCATACTACATTTCGTGCAGTCACATAAATGTCATGGAAAGTCATGGTATCATCACACTGGCCAACTTCAAAGTCTGTTTGGCACTAGACATTGTTACATTAATGTGACAATATTAGGGTTAGTGAAAATGCCCATATCCAGATAGAGTACAGATACAGGTATAAACTATACCAAAACCAGATATGTGCAATGACATATGCTCAAATCCAAAAAATGTACAGAAGGTTGCACCATTCAGACCCTAACTGTACTCTAGTTAGATACAATATCTATTGTCTAGTTTTAGGCCCATTAGACAAACCATCCTTGAGGTTGCATGTGGATATAGTATAGATTGAGTTTAGATAGTATACAGATAACAACAATGAAATCTATGGCAGATTGTCCTACGCAGCAGAACCTCAGTAAACCTGTATATAGAAGGTGCTTCTGGATGATCCCCCATATCATCCTCATCCTTCTGATATGTTCTGAAACACCCTAGGTATGCAGTGCCATCCAGATGGAGCTAGAGCACCTGCAGAAAAAATCTGTTAGTACAGCTCAGGGGGTTCAGAATATGATGAATCCACATCCTGTTCTGCCATTCCCACTTGTTCCAATGATCCTTTCATGGACACAGCACCTGATAATCACCATAATAGTTTCAATCCATCAGAACTTGGTTTGTATGGTGAAGGAATTGGTTGAGGACATAGTGGAGGGCATGGGATGTACAACTTCAGGGACACTCTAGGCATACTAGTATGATATCAGCACTTGTGTTCATGATAGTCTAAAAAATAAATCATCAGCCAGAAAGTAGTAAGTATAATGACATACCTTGTCAACTGCATTAAGAGCTTCTTGTTCTACCTTGGACTTAGGCTCCATGACACTATTATCTGGGACAGGAAGATCAGCTATGTGAGTTGTTAGAGGATGGAAAACAATGTTACTGATGGGTTTTGTAGGGATGAGTGGCTTGACAGGAGAGTTGTTAATTCCTGGTCCAATAAATGTGTGTGGGTATTGGGGAAGTGCTAGAAACACCTCAGCAACATCTGGCGCTGAAAACATGTGCACGTGCCTTTTCCCTTGGGTGTCTTGGGAGACTTCATGGTTGCACAAGTGAATGATATGATTTTGATTTTTAGCAACATGAGATACTGATTTTTGACAATAAGTAAAAAAAAAACATATGAGGGGCCCATGTATGTCTGTAATACAAGTGCATGCCACTGCGCGGCTCGATTTGGATCTCTGTGTAGTCTAGTTTGTTCCTAATAACAATTCTTTATATACAACATTCGACGTAGTGAAATCGT